TATGGTCTTTCAGCTTGGTGTGACAAGATGACCCAATCACTTTCATCTCCCCCCCTTTCTGGCATTAACCACTCTCTTTCGGCCCACTTCACTTGTGGAAAAATAGGAGGAAGGAGCATTACCCTTTTGCTTGGGAGTTTACAAAATGAAAGGCAGGGTATCAATTTGATAAATAAATTCTCACACAAGCCGAGAGGAGCACCCTTTCCTCTATTTAGCTGATAGAAGAGTTGTTTAATTTGCTGCAATCACCACCACGATCAAACTGTTTAGCAAGATTCAGTACTTTTATATAATGTTTTCACTGCAAGCTTAGTTATTGTCAGTGGATTTATCTCCTCTTTCTCCCTCCCCCCTTCCTCAGCATGAGTGTTTTGGTCTGTCGTTGTAAAGTAGTAAATATAAAATAAAAATACAAAGGTACATCCATGTTGCTTTCTTAGCAAACAGATTGCTGTAGTCTATCACTACAATTTTATGGGACATGTTTTTAACTTTCCAAGGAAAGCTCTATGATTGGGGTTTTCTAATGATATCCTAATACTAAGTCCCATCTTGCTTCTCTTTTTCCAAGATCAGCTAAACCCAACCCAGTAGATGGCTAGGTGTTGCCATCTGCTGCAACAATAATGCCTAATATACAAAATACTACTTCTACTTTCTAGGGGAAAGGAGGATTTTGTTTTGATGTTGCATGGGGTTAATTACACTTCTATCATGATTAGAACCTGTGGAGCTCAGACTACTACCGGTATATATTCATTCATTATTTGTGTCCTAGCTACGTATTCCAGTAGTTTGCAATTATGGAAGGTGAAAGTTTAGAAGGAAAACATTTAGGAGATTGCAGACTTGCACAATACTTTAGATGTTTGACAATAGCTGATAACATTTTGATTATGTAAATAATTTTTAATTGGGGGGCATTAAAACGTAACACTATCTGAAAAGGCTGCCTAGACCTGAATCAGCGGGGAGGGGTGATTTGTCTGCGAGATACTTCTTAGTACCTTGCATTCTTGGCAGAAAGGCCTCCTTCAGCTTTTGTGAGGGTCAGAGAAGGCAGCCGCAGCAGGCCAAGTGAATCAAAATGGCTTCTTCACTTTTCCCTTAGACTAGAGATGGCAATGTTGCTTTGCGAAGTCTCTTTGGGTGGATCCTTTGCTTCAATACTCCCTGGATAGCTGCATAATTATGGTAGCCATTGATGCATTTCTAATTTTATTGTAAGTAATTTAAGTTAGTGGTAATCTCCACACCTAGAGTTATAAAGAAGTGGTGCCTTTCGTCTGTCCTCAATTTCCCACCACTCAGCTTGACTCAATGAACTTGATTCTTGTATTGTTGAAAAATCAATCTTCTCCTAGCCATCATTATACACACCATTTTTTTTGTCCTTTCTTTTTTCTTTGTCCTTCCCCTTGGAAAAAAGGCACAAATGGTGCCCTGGTCCACAAAAGGTCGCTGCTGCTGCTGTTGCTCCTGCTAGATGGGATAAGAAGGAACATTCTTTCCTGTGCATGCCTGAAATGCCTCCCAGGAGACTGGAGACTATGGTCAGGTCCCAGTTGGCCTCGTAAGTATGGTACAAGCATGTCTTGGCAACCTTTTTATTAATTCCACAGTTGAGACAGGTTTCAATTGTCCTTAACTATTTCAGTGCTAAAGTATTTCCTCACTGTTGCCAGAAATTCTAAGGCATACCAAATCTCATGTGCTGTGCTAAATGTGGAAACAGCCGAAGGACTATTACCGGTATTAATTCAATTTATGTAGCCATCCTTTTTACCAAGGTGAAGCTAAATGGAGTAGAGATTAAAACTACCATGCAGAGGAAAACCCACAAGCACCAGTGCCTACTTCAAATCTGAATGCTGCAACTGCTACACACAATACAATCAAAAGGTCTAATTTGCGAGTACTGATTTTTTTGTTGTATGAAATACTTTTTATTTGTAAAGTCCCAATTAAAAATGATCCCAATTATTTCATTGAAATTCCTATAAATCAAAATATTCACTTTTTACTCTAAAGTTACCTAGCTGCAAGAACAATGGTAGTCCCATGGCATCTGCCTTAATAGATGTTGTGTTGTTATATTGTTATCTGCCTATTTTGCAATCCTCAACTGATATGTATATATGGCAAGTCTAATAAAACCAGTCACTCTTCATTACACTTCAGCAATAACAAATATTTCAGCAAAGAATCTACTTTAACTCAAGAGTTTACTATCTGACCTACAGTGTATTTGGCATTGCTATCTGTAGGTCAATTAAAGGTTCCATTCAGGCAATACTTAGGAATATTATTTCCATCCTGATCTCCAAACTCATTTATATTTAAAATGGTTGCTTCCAAATGACACCCCAATGAAATTCCAAACATTTTGCTCTCCACTACAGCTGCATCACCTGCACTTTTCAAGGGCTCCAATCCTCAGAAAAAGTCTTGGGGAAGAGGGCACAGAGGGCTACAGTGAGAAGGGATGGAAAATTCCCACTATAAAATGTTTTGGGCGACTTTGGTAGCAATGGATATTATTTATTTTAAATTTTATATAATTTAGTTATTTGGCTTATAATAATTAAAACTATAATGCATTTTGAAACTTATGCAACCTACTGTGTCAAACTAAACACATACCAACCATGCACATGTACATCCTAGAGCCATTATTAGGAATTAAATTGAAATTAGGAATTCCATTTCAGGAGCTTCATGACATTGAAAGAGAGAAAAGAAAAAAAGGCCCACCTGTCAAGCCAGATTATTAGCAAAGAAAATTAAAGCCCAAGAAAATCGACCTTTAGTAGCTAATTCAGAGAATGGGTTCCCCTTCTCAGTGGAAGGGCAACCTCTGTGGGCCCAAAAGAGGGGCCAAAAGCAGAAAGGCTGGAGCTTGGATTTGAACAGTAAGCTATGATTTGCAATATAGAATGTTACATTTTACAGACTGTGTACATTTGTATTGGGGTGTGTTTGTATAAGATCCTGGACTGGAGAAAGCAACCATTTGTCTCTTTGGAAAGTAACTGCCCATTTCTTCCTCTCTTCAATATTCTTCTAGGCCTGTAACATTATTATATGTAAATCACAAATATCTAAAAAAAAAATGTTTGTTCTGGGAAAGGGATCTAGCCTCCAGTATACATCTTACTTCTTGTCAAGGAGCAGAGAGTAAAATGGCTGGTGGCTGCATACTTAGCACAGGAACTATGGAAGAAAGGTTGGGAGGCCTCGTGTGGGAATCAGCAGAGGACCAAGCCACCACATTCTATGTAATCTGCCTTAGGCGCTGAAATTTAATCTGCTAGAAAATTAATTCAACCAGTATCTGTTATTTTAGCACTTTTTAAAGGAAGAACAATTAAATCCATCCTGAAAGATCTGGGAACAGTGATCCAATGAGAAAAATTAGCAATGACTGAGATGCAAAAGCCTATTGCTTATAGTGGATAATCATTAATACTGATTATAACATAATCAGTTTATAACATAAACACTGCTAGCAACCTGATAACCATGCTGCACAGATCAAGTTAATAAACGGTGAGATCTTAAACCTCTCTCTGACATTGAGACGCTAAATGAGACTGTAATTCTTATTCAACATCAATTTATCACAAGCTTGAAACTTGGCTCGGGGCTCATGAATTAGGGCATCTTTCGGAAACTTCACACAATGAACTTATACAGTAGTACATATGGAAATACTTTGATTCAAGAAATCTAACAGAGAGCCAAAGAGCCAACAACAACTTTTTTTTTAAGGATTTAAAATAGTATAAAATAGGTAGCAGTGATTAAATCTTTATTTAATAAACAAGGGAATAATAGATGATAAAAATTAAAATAAAGGATGCCTAGATAAAAAATGGCAAAATAGACTGGGCATAAACATAATATGCAGGAAGAGTTGGGTACAGATTTAAGAGACCGTAAAAGTCAGATATCTGAAATACTTGTTATAATGCACAGTATTATGCAAGAAAGAAAATCCGATTTCTAAATTTTGTGGTAAATCTCTGGACGAGTTGCAGCAGTTGGTTAAATAATTAAAACTCAAATTCCTGCAGCAGAAAAACTAATAGTAAAATAGCAATGTTTATCCATTTACATTTTTCTATCATAGAGCTCAAAATGATTGTGATAAAAATGGAGTAAATAAATAAGCCTGAAATAGGTTTGCATGCAGAAGGTCTGGGAATTTTACTCAGTTCTGCTTCACAAAACAGAGTTCCGGGCTTAGTATTCTTTACTTCTAAGTGCCTGTCTTTTGCACGGCCCTTTGGTAGGCAGCGAGCATGAAATCTGTTTGTGCTCTTGCAACAGAGTGCAGGCAAAATATTACAGTTGCCACTGTGAAAAACTGGTGGTAAATTCAATGTATAATTCAAAAGTGGTTTTCATTTAGACACAAGTCACATATTTCTGCAGCCAGATTTTTGATTCTCAATGATAATGTTCTACGTTTATTACAGGAAAGCATCCAATATCTAATATGATTATTTTATAGTATATGACTCTCAATTAATTTACATCTAAAATCAGAATGTCGTCTTATGTGTGTCGATAACATAATAGAGATAGACAAGTTCTATCTGTCAAATCCAGGAGGCAGTTATCTTAATTCAAGATGATGTTACTTTCAGGTACCTTGATATAAAACCGGGGTCTCCAACATTGGCAACTTTAAGACTTGTGGACTTCAACTCCCAGAATTCCTCAGCCAGCAAAGGCTGAGGAATTCTGGGTGTTGAAGTCCACAAGTCTTAAAGTTGCCAACGCTGGAGACCCCGATCTAAAAGACACTAGGCAGCTTTCAGAGAATGAAGGAAAATGTATGAATTCTAATAAAAATACAATCAAATGTCAGGTCTACTGATTTCCCTTTCTGAGTAACAAGCATAAGAAATTTCCAGATGCTGAAATCTGCTGACATGGTCCCCCACCCGCACCCCATTTGACTGCTGAAAAAGCAGGCTTACACATGAACGTACCAGGTACATCTTTAATGCCTTAGCTTTGTGTTTTTCAAAAATGAGCAAGGGGTGTGCATATTTTTACTTTGCAGTCTGTGTATATACAACTTTATTTGCATTGACGTTAATGATATTTTTATAACTCAATATGGTGCGTTTATAAAATGAGTTTATCAAAATACACTAGTTTAATAAATAAGTCCAGCCAAACCACCCTACTCAGAGTTAAAATTAACTTTGGCAGGCTTAAATGTGGTACACAGTCCATCATGACTATTATGCTTATTCTTTTATTCTTCCCTACCCCCGGATGCTCATCTTTTGACTAAGGAAGTGGCATTCCTGACAGATTTCTCATTCCACATCATCTTCAGCCAAGCATTGTGCACTTACAATTCTCTGCAAAATAAAATATAGGAACGTTAAAATAAAACTGTTAATGGTATATTTCTCCAGTTAAGCACATTACTGAAATCAGTTACAATCTCTAGTTTTTGAAAATCAACCTCCCTCTGCCTCAAAAATCAACATCAGTAAGTAGCAGTATTTAATAAGCAGTTAAAAGTATTTAGAGAAATAATAAACCAAGGCAAGCAAGCAATTATAGAAGATCGTTATGGTTTGCTGTAGCTTATTTGTGGAAGCAGTCTAATTAGTTATACCCAAAACACCTTTCTGACAATAAACTTTAAATAACTCTGCACATTGATGTTTCTTAGCTACATGGCTCACGATATGGATCCAGTGGGCACATTTTAACCATGATATGACCACTGGAAACAAATATTATTCAACTTATACAGAAGCCTTTCTAATTTATAAGATGTGGTAGCTATTTCACTTTAAAAGTTCCTTATTGTGCAAAACTAAAGCAAGCACATGTGTGTCAGGAAAAGAGCTGATATATTTGAATATGTTTCTTGTAACTATTGCAAAAAGATCTAATACAAATTCAACTACTTTATGGGTAAATTTCATATATCCAACAACCTCTAGTAACCTATACTAAACATATTTCTTAGCAGCCTGAATTTTATCTCAGCTTTCCTCAAATGCTTTTGGACGTGCCCAATTTTTCTTCATTTTTTATTAAAAATTTTACTTCTTCATTTTTACTAAAGTTATATATATATAACTTTATTCACAGTTTCTTCAGTAAACTTAGTTCAAAATTAGTGTATAGGACTATCAGGTTTGGCACTGCATCAAACCAGTTCAAAGAACAGTGATGTAAAATCTAAATTTAGTTAATTTTTTCTCAGAGTCATTTGTAAAGTTATTTCTTATTTAAATAGAAATGCTAAGAGTTTCAGATAGGGAAAACTAAATTATGTCAAAATATTTTTAAAAATTATTTTATCATAGTCAAATTACAGACCAAAGTGAATGATGACAGAATTCTTACAGAAGGTTCCACAATTATATCCTCTTTATAGGAATAATATCCTATAATTTATAAACATCATAGTTAAATTTCAGTTCTGAGATGCGACTGAACTGTTTGAAAGAAATAAACTGTGATCACTACGTATATCCTCAGTTGCTTCAGTTCTGGATCTGATCTTAATGGGTTTAACAAACAATACTGATGAGATCAGGCAAAATAATACTGATACTTACTAATTCTATTTCAAAAACCAAATGATATTTTCATACCTGACTAATTGTAGGGAGTTTAGTAAGAAGCATTTGGAAAACTGGTGGTGGAAGAGTCTGTTGGAGAACTTGTAGTAATTGCTGAGGTTGTCCACAAACAGCGATGGCATTTGTCAAGTGATCAACACCTTTTTCATATTCTCCTGAATAAAAAACATATTATAGCTACTAAAGATCAGGTATAATGACATTTAATGAAGATTTGAAACTATTGTTAGGTAACAATATTTAAAAATTCAATAAATTATTTCAACAAATGAAATAAAATATCTGCATATCACATCTATAAATTTGTTAACAAAAAAATACCCAAAATTCAAATTTCTACCCTAGAATTTTCAGACTTTATTCTGTTAGTGGTCGTCTTGATTTATGAGCTATTTTAGACAAATTTAAATAGAAAAATAACATACAGTATATTAAAATAACAGTGATAACATTTCAAAGTTGCAGTTATAAATTTAGAGTTCTATTTTTACTTCTTCTTTTTTTTGTAACTCTCAAAAAGTAATTTATCCTGCAATCCCTGTGCCCTGGAATTTAGTGCCCTAAATTTAGCTGAATTTATCTCCAAGTGGGTTGAGATTAAGGGTCAAGCTTTGCTAATCAACATTTAGAATAATTCTATACAAATAGGGAAAAAAAAGTCATCAAACTCAATAGAGTTCAATAACATATTTGTAGATATACACAGGCTTGCCCTTTAAAGAGCATGCAATTATTTTACCTTTCAAAGCAGTGGTTTCAGTAATAAGCCTTTTTTCTATTGATTTTATCTCTCTAATATGTCACAAGTTAGCAAAAAGAAAGATTAAAAAAATGCAACAACCTTGTGCTAAAAGTTCCTCTCCCAACTGTATCTCTTCAAGAAAGAATTTTTGAACTGCTTCAGCATCTTTTAGATCAGGCAACTACAAGAACAACATTTATCAAATCAGCCATTTAAATATCATAGCAAAATCTTCCACCCTTCCCATTATGCTTTTAAATAATAAACTTCAACTTCCAAAAAGTTAATAATACTAAAAACTTTTCAAGAATAAAGAGAAGTTTACAGGGAATATTACATTCCATTTTTTTACAAATTCTTATAAAAGTAAAAATAAAACCATACCTAGAAATCCCCTTATCAGTTTCACAATCCTCACAATTGCTATAGAAATTAGCTATCATTTGTGAAGTACATCATCCCACAATATACCATGCTTATACATGGATCAAGAGAAATATCCATAAAAGGAAAATAGCAGAAAGTTATTTGCCACTTCCCAGCAGCTCCTGAATGGGCTAAGATTGGTTGGGAGCTCAAAAGGAAGGGATGCTTGCTGAAAAACTAGCTGAGGGATCTTCAATGGAAATGGGGAAGGGGAAAAAAAAGGAAAGTCATTATTCTTGCTTCTCCAAAATTAGGGCTGTTGGATGTATGCTACAAAAGGTTGATGGTACAATAATTTCAAGCCAGAGACCATTTTGAAAAAAATACTTTATTGTATTCATTCAAATATTTTATATCACCCTACTCCAGAAATTCTTGATGATTATCAGAAGATATAAAATGAAGAAATAAACCTCAGCTCCAACAAAACAAAGTCATCTAAACAAATCAGTAAGAATAAATATAAGATCAAGCCAGTATATTCACATTAGCCCAAAGCCTGCCAGTAGAGCATATATGCAACATAAAAAACATATTACTACCTTAGAAAATCCTGCTTTTTCTTTGGCAAGCTTCTGTTTCTTTCTTCCTATAGATTAAATAAGGATATATTGATTTTCAAATCATGCTACCGTACTTGCATTTCAGAGTAATTTTCAGAAGAGAGGTCCCAACTTCATAGATTTCCGTATATACCATAGCAAAGAACATAAGGGAGATACTCATATGCAACATCATATTATCTTTCACATGTAGAATAATTATTCTTAAATTATGCAAAGTTATATCTACAGGTCACTCCTCAGCTCACTCAAGAGTCAATGATAGATGTTATTAAAATATTCCCATACAGATAGTTTTTGAATCATGACCATAATGGAGCTGCCCATTACAATCAGAACTTGTGATGACCATTAAGATAAATGCCCATGTGATCACTTCACTTATGGCCCCACTATCCCTGCTCTCCCTGATGCGGTTGTTAAACACATGGGTCATTAAACAGAAATAGATGGAAGGGGGAAGGGTGCTGCAGCATTCCTGCAATCAGTCATAAGAGTGAGTGATCATAGAGTGATCATGGGGGATCATTTCAGAACCGGGTCATAAGTAGCTTTTTAGGGGGAGGGGTCTGCCACAATTTGTGGCACTGACTTAACACAACCTGTTTTAAGTCAAGGACTATCCTATCCTATCTATATTTCTCTTATTTTTTTCTAGCACCAAAAGACTTGTGTATTGCTTCTTGTGTCTTACAAAATTTGGTGGTGATACATAGAAATATGTCAGGAGCCCAATTTTAATCAAATGCTGTACTTAAGCTCACCCATAAGCTCTTTCACATAGGTATAGGGAGACCACCAATGATATGTGAAGGATGTGTGTTTTTGTTTTATTTTTATAGTTTTCTTAGTATGATGTACATGGAAAATGGCATTTAATTTCATTGTGCGAGATGCAATGACAATAAACTAAACTAAACTAAACATAATCAGGGAGTTTTCAGCACTGTGATCTTTGCATCAATTGCAAGCTAATTGTTTCTTCTTACTATCATTTATTGCAATTTGCTTTGGAGAAACATTTACTTTGATGGTATAAAACTCATCTTAGGTAAACAGAAGAGTATTTTCACAATCTGGGGAAAAAGTTTTTACAAGCACACTTTTTTATTAAGGGAAAACATAACAAAGGTGATTGAGTACTTGTTGAAGAGCTGAAATAATGCAAAATTACAAAATAATGCTGCATTCTGGATAACTCTACATTTTTCTTTTGCATTTCTCCTTATCCTGGAAGTTATAAGTGAAACAGTACCAGGAGGGTTTTGAGAATGCATTATGTAGCATGTCTCTACAAGCAGGATTTGTAGATGCTGAAACTTAACTGTCAAATATTACAAAGTGAAGGTAACTATAATATATATGTAGTACTTTATCAAAAGCAAGAATCTTCCCCCTCTATTTTTTTTTTCCAAGACACACGACTTTCTCCGGAACCTGGATAGCCAAATATGTAGAGGGGGAGTGACCATTGTGTAGTTTAACTATGTTTCATTTGCATGAAGAACAGAGACATAAAATTAGGTCGTTTCCCAGTGACCAGCTTTTGACTTTAATTAGCATTCAGCCGTCAGGGTTAGGAGCAACGATAAGCTATACCATCACAATGTTTTTAATTTTTAGTGAATGGTTAAATATTTTAGAGGATTTTCTACCGTGTTTCTCCAAAAAGACGACCCACCTTGAAAACAAGCCCTATCACGTTTTTGAGCGCATGCAATCAAATTAAGTCCCACCCACAAAATTAGCCCTAATTACGACCCCCACCCCACCCTGGGATGCAGGGAGTGGGGTTAGGCACACAGGTAAAAAATAAGCTAGGGTGGGGATGGGGGGGTGAAGCTGCCCTACTTACCAGGCCTCGCACACCCCGACACCTGCCTCGCCTTCTTCTGCAGTTGCTTATTGCCACTCGCACGCATTGCCCTGGCCTCTATTTCGCCTTTAGATGCCTGCCGGAAGGCATCTGCAACCAATAACATCTATTATCAGCTGCAGAAGCCTTTCCGGAAGGCATCTGAAGGCGAAATGGAGGCTGGGGCAATGCATGCGAATGGCAGCAAGCGACCATAGAAGAAGTGGACCAACAGTGGGCTCCTGCTGGACGGGGCTGTCGGTGCCACCGCAACGAGGTGAGTCAATAATTAGAACCCTCCAAAAAGAAGGTCTAGCCATTTTTCCAGGGGTCGAAAGGAAATAAGACCTGGCCTTCTTTTGAGAAACACGGTATGAATACAATTTTTATGAATACAGAAAGTATCTGCAAAGCAAATCTCCAAACATAAAGCAGACTTCTGAAATTTAATTGGAATATATTACATATTTTACAGTAATAAACATTTATGTTCTTTATTTAATTTTACAGCTGGACACACCTCTTTTCCTGGGGCAATACTATACGACTAAAACAACTTTGGACACAGAATTCTTGCACATACATTCTATCTCTGTATATTAAGAACATATATACTTATGTGTATACAAATGTCAGGAAATGTGTTTATAGCAATATTCACTTCTGAATCTCCTGACTCTCAAAATTGTGGCTGGCTGAACTAAAGGTGAAGGAAATTTTGATGATGAATGAAACTTCTAATTAAGCAAGCAAGCACACAGAGCAAATAGGAGTTTGACAAAGGAGTTTAGATGGGCACAGTCGTTATTGGTAGGAACTAACAAAATGTTATCAATCCAACCAGATCATCTTCTTTTAATAAGAGTGACCAGTTTATCTGATCATGGGAATATAATAGACATAATGTACCTTAACTTCACTAAAGAATTTAGCAAAGCTTTCTGTGACATCCTCAAAGAGAAGATGGCAAAACATGGGTTAGAGTATGCTCCCATTAGAAACAGAGTTGGCTGAACATCATACCCAATAAAGGTATGTCAATGGCTGTCTGATGAGTGGAATGAAGTGTTTGAGTTGTATTGCAGGGCTCCATTCTGCACCCAATGTTGTTAAATATATTTACAAATACCTTGATGGAAAGGTAAGAAAACATTAATATATTATTTGTCAACAACATAAATTTGGGGAAAGGAAATAGCAAATTCCTTGGGGAACAATATCAAAATTCCAGAAATTTTATGTCAGGAGGGAAAAATGCAAAAACCTTATTTTGCATAGGAAAAATCAAGTACATGAATATAGGATAGGGAGATCATACTGGGTGACAACACCTACAAAAAGGATCTGGCACTGTTGATGGATCACAAGCCAAACATGAAGGTAATGCAATTGCTAAAAAAAAAGGAAATGCAATGTTGGGTTGCAACTAAGTTGTATAAGATCAAGATCAAATACAGGTAGTCTTTGACTTGTGACCATAATTAGGACAAGAATTTCCGATGCTAGGTGATGTAGTCAAAAAGCACAATTTCAAATAACCGCATGGCTTGTTAATCAAACCATTGGTGTTAATCAAATTCCATCAGTCATTGGCCAAGGACCCACCCCAATCCAAGTCATTCTGGGCTTGGTCCCTCGCAGCCCAAGCCTTGCTTCTTCCAAGGTGAGAGACTGTCTCCCTTTCAACTCCCTATTTCTCCCAGCCTTGGCCCTTTTTGCCTCACAAACACTGTCTTGCAGAGTGGCAAGCAACCCTTGAACCTCACAGCTCTGGGGCTGCTTGTTACGCTGTGGCACAAGAGCTTCTTGGCAGGCCATGCCTCTGAGTCTGGAAGAAGCCCATGAGCCACAGTGTTGCATGAAGTCTCAGCCACCTCAGCCCAGCATCACAGCGCAAAGCTGCAGCCCTCTCAGGAAGCCCCAGCTCCAGCCAGAGTTGCCCTCACCACTTTGCACTCCAAAGCCCCTGCTGCCCTGCACTCTGCCACTCCAGCTGACCTTCGCCATCTTCTTGCTCCACTGATAATGGGCATATCCAGCCTGGTCCTTCCTGAGTCAGCTGGTGGTCACTTAAGATCCCAGATCCCACATGATCTGGGAAATACAAGTCTCATGTGGCCAGCTAGCCGCCTCACAACTGGCCAAGCAGAGCATGCTTGGTCAGCAGCAGGAGCAAGATGGTGGATGTCAGCTGGGAAGGTGGAGCACAGGGGCCATGGAGGCCAAAAGACCATAGATGGGGAGAAAAAGGCAGGTGGGGTGAGTTGAAGTGTCCCTACGCTTGTAAGTGAAAGTAGGCTGCCAAACACCTAAATTTTTAACATGGGACAGTGGTGGTATTACAAAGACCATAACTTTGGAGACCAGTGGTAAGTTCCTTTGTTCAGCACTGTTGTAACTTTAAATGGTCACTGAACGAATGGTCCTAAATTGAGGACTACTTGTAACAATTCACTTTTTATATGCGTTGATTAGACCACACCCAGACTAACACATTTCATTCTGGGCATGCAATTTTAAGAGCAAACATTTACAACTCGAGTATGCCGAGAGGAAAGCAACCAAGACTGAATAAAGGGCCCTCGAATGAAGGAAAAAAACAAAAAAACCCAAAACCATGGTTATAGGCACTGGGTATGTTTAGAACAGAGGTCCCCAAACTTGGCAGCTTTAAGACTTGTGGACTTCAACTCCCAGAATTCTCCAGCCAGCATAGCTTCTGGCTTCAACTTCTGGGAGTTGAAGTCCACAAGTCTTAAAGCTGCTAAGTTTGGGGACCCTTGGGTTAGAAGGAAGAGAAGATTGGGGCGAAGCATAAGGGGATGGGGAAAGGGAGCCATCTGCTGGGATGTGCGACAGTCAATTTGTGAAGTTGGGGCTGGACTAGATGATCTCCAAGGCGCCCTTTAACTTTTACACCCTATGAGGCTGAACCTCTTCTCCTGCCCAAGCGCATTAAAGGGGATTAAAACCAGGCAGTGGAAAACCCTATTTGCAGGGAGTTCGCACCCGAGTTCCCTCCTCCATCCAAAGGTTCCCTCTCTGGCGGGGGCCTCTCACTATGGAAAAGACTAGCGGCCGTTAGCCGAGGACTTCCTGGACCTTGGAAGCCACTAACCAGGGCAAGGGAACCGACTCTTCAAGGCATCGCCGAGGGATGAGGGGAAGGGAATGTGGAGGGGAATCACTCGGGTCGCGAAAAAAGGCGTCTGGCGGGGAAGGAAGCGCGGAGTCCGCTCTCGGCGGCGGGGCGCACGAGGGGAAAGAGGCCGTAAGACTCACGTTCCCGCAACCGGTTCTTGAAGTTGGGGTCGCTCCTCCTCTTGCGGTCGAAATAGATGCAGTAGCCGATGAAAAGGGCGCCGCAGACGCCAGCGGCGATAGCGCTGCTCTTGCCCCCCATCATTTTCCGCTTTTCGCGCCCGCCTCCTCGCGCTTCTCCAGGCACCTTGGCCAGGCACGCAAGGAAAAGGGAAGGCCCGCCTCGCGCAGGCGCCTCCGTCATCAGCCGGCGACGGCGAGAGGCTCGGCTTTGCTCCCTAGCCCTCCTAGGGGCGAGAGCTTGGAGAAGCGGAGGCGCGGCAAAAAAAAGTCCTTGCCTGAAAGGCGCCTGCGCGCGCGAGGCTCCTCGGTCACCCTCCTCAGGCTTTTGTGTTACGCACGCGCGAAGGAATCGCACGAGGGTTTCCCCCCCTCCCCCCTCCTCCCGTTTAACTGTAGGAAAATTGGTTGCGTCGACGGGCTCATTCAGAAGTTTTTATGGAATTGGTCTGGACAGAAAGGGTGCAAATCAACCTATTGCCGTCTATCAGCATTAAGTCGAAATTAATGCGTGGCCGAACAGAGAAACCTATTCTACTTTTGTCAGAACCAGGCCATAATTTTAAGCTTTCTTAGAAACCCCCGAGACATACGTTTTGTTAGAATAGCCTGATCCCTCATAGCAAGCACAATAAAAGGAAACCCTTCTACAAGATGCATGCTTTTTTCATGTCATGAATAAAAAGCGGCAACTAGGTACTTAAATACAGGCTTTGAAAAAGGCAGAAAAATATATATTGAAACAAAATATAGGTATAATTGCTTTTTTCCATGGGGGAAAGTCTCTAATCTTAGAATTCTGACACCGTTAAATCACTATCAGAATAATCTGTAATCAAATTTAATAGAATTAATAGAATTCATGTAGGAACAGTAAAAGAATATTGTCTAAAAGAAAAAAAATATTGATGGCTGTTGAGGATTCACAAAACTTCCCATATCTGATCAGAAGTTGAATAAATGGACTCTTAAGAATCAACCTCGAAAGAAATAACTTGTTGATATTGTACAACAATGCTTAAAGATTTGAAAGCTGCAGTATTAGATACTAAATGAAGGCTGAGTTAAATAGCATTTATTCCCTACACAATCCCTTCAAAAGAATATATAATTACATAACGTCACAGCCAGCAATGTGAAAGTTGGGGATAATCAGATTAGATTAACAAATGGCCAGGTCATCATAAAAGGATCTATTACTGAATACACAAAGACTTGCACTCTAATTTTGTTGTTGTTAGTTGAGAATTCGTGTCCCACCCATTGCGACCCCATGGACAACGATCCTCCAGGCCTTCCTGTCCTCTACCATCCTCTGGAATCCATTTAAGCTCACGCCTACTGCTTCAGTGACTCCATCCAGCCACCTTGTTCTCTGTTGTCCCCTTCTTCTTTTGCCCTCTAATTACTAATTAATTGCACTCCAATTACCAATAGCAATTAGCACATAACCAGATACTGCAGGTACTTTTGTACTACTGTATTCCAAAAAACGGCCAACATGGAATAATTTAAAATTTTCCAATGTAAGCTTTAAACCACTTTCCAATTTATTCATAATGTTAATGTACACATATTTAACAGAAAGGACAAATAAACATTACAAAGAACACACTTGTAAATAATTAATTGCCTGTTATTAGAACCCTTTAAGAAAGGCTTTCTGGTATTTATTTACATTATAAGAATAATAGTTGAAAGATACTAAAATAGTGATAAATTTCTAGTGTGACATTTTTAATTTATCTTCCAATGTTACCTTTGCAAATTAATTTAGATGAGCTTCTAAATTGTGAAAGTGGAGATCAAGAATTCCAAAAGATTGTCTACGTGATAAATTTTATTTAAAAGTATTTTAACATTACAAAAGTATCTTAACACTGTATCATTTGGGTTTCCTCATTTTCATGCTGTTTTTTGATTTTGCTTTTTTGCTCTTTTTCACTGGGTCTGCCTTTTCACCAACAAAAGAATTAGTAGATCCTTCTGATTTATTTAGAGAAGTAGTCTTTGTGAATTTCAATCGAATAGAGCTCTTTGCATTTTTGTTTGATTTCTTCTGTTCTTCTTTCTCTCTTTTTACACAATGTTGCACTCTTAGCTTTCTTCCTTGTAATTCAGATTGGTTTAGTTTCAGAGCAAGGTGTACAGCATCTGTGGTCTTTAAGGAGAAAAAATAAAAGAGAGCAACTTATAAAGTTCCTGTTACATGGACTGAGAAGGGGAGGGCTATTTCCTCATCACAATATAACCTCATGCATTCTTAACATGATTTGGAGCAGGGGTGTCAAACTGGTGGCCCGCGGACTGGATGCATCACGCGGAGGCCATGCCCACCCCAGCTCCGTGAATGGGGAAAATGTCGCAAGACATGTGATGCCAATGTGACGTGGTGAATTTGACACCTGTGATTTGGAGGGTAAGGGACACTTCAGAGCAGATTTGCACAGTACACAGTAAGAAGACAAAAAGTAATTCCTTCAAGGAAGCAGACTTCCGATCACTTAATGCCACATTAATAACTGCCCTTTAATTTCAAGCATGGCATATCCAAATCCAACTACGTACAAGAAGGATTTGTATCATGACCTCATGAATCAGTTTTGCTGTCACAGACCCATTAGCTACAGTTGTCACAAGAAACAACACAGGAGAACTCTCCTCTAATGCTATTTTTGAGCATGGTGGTGCAGTGGTTAGAGTGCAGTACTGCAGGCTACTTCTGCTGATCACTGGCTGCCAGCAGTTTGGCAGATTGAATCTCACCAGACTCAAGGTTGACTCAGCCTTCCATCCTCCCGAGGTTGGTAAAATGAGGACTCAGATTGTTGGGGGCAATATGCTGACTCTATAAACTGCTTAGAGAGGGTTGCAAAGCACTATGAAACGGTATATAAGTAAATAAGTGCTATTGCTTTATTTATTTAGCATAAATAAATAAATAAATAAATAAATAAATAAATAAATAAATAAAATTGCTATTGCTATTTTGATTACTGCAAATGAAAAGATGACAATTTTGCTCCCTTATTGTACCCAAATGATCGATCAATAACTGCAAGGTATTCATGCTTTGGGTTACATTGGAGGTTAAGTGAAAATGTGTAAAAAGTGAGAATGAATGAAATAAGCTGCTAACAGAATGATTTGAAAATTAGTGTTCTATTATAGCATTGCCTGCGGTTTTCAAAACTTTGCTGATTTGGCACAGAGTGGTATACCCATCTCATCATTTTTAATGGCCAAATTTATAATGACTGCTATTTTTTCAACAGACAGTAAAATAATGGCTAGTTTATTGAGCATTCAACCCCCAGATTATCCTGTATTGCTGGGAGAACATTACTGATGACTGATTTACACCCACAAATGTACCCCTTTTGCTAAATGAGTTTTTCTCCCGTAGAGTTCACCATTCTAATCCTCTTAATAACTATTACCGGATGATAAAAGATTACCATCTTTGGGAATGGCGTAAGCATGTAAGATTCATGTAAGTACTTGATGATTAGCGCTCTCTGTGAAGTTACTAGGGAGATGTCTAGATATGGGTATTAGTGGAGTTCTGTGCAGTTTCAATGAATTATTTAGGAGATGCTTAATTATTCCTAATTGTTTACCATGAGGTTTTACTGTGTTGCTATCCCCTGAGTGCAATACTGAATGCTAGATTAAATAACCAATATAGTTATGATTTAAAGCCATGCTAAATTTGTTGTTGCAGCCATTGAATAACTGACATACCTCAAATAGAACATAACCAAATCCTTTGCCGATGCCTGTGCTTCGATCTCTCACAATTCGTACACCTGTCACATTTCCACATTCCAAAAAGTGATTTCTTACAGTCTCATCATCAATTTCTGTAAATATAATATCTTTTAGAAATGTGCAGCTATTAAAACACAACCATTTTAGTGACATGACCAAATTTCTATTATTACTGTGTTTCCCCGAAAATAAGACCCTGTCTTATATTTTTTTAAACCCTGAAATAATTGCTTGGCCTTATTGCCATGCGCTGAAAAGCCCGATTGGGCTTATTATCAGGGGATGTCTTATTTTGGGGAAAACAAGGTATTTAAAGTTTCTATTCTTTTTTAAACAAATATGGTTGCTGCCTCTCAAAGTTATCTGCTTAAAAGAAAGATTAAGACTTGGGGCAGTATTGGCAAGGAAATAGCTCTATATTCCAAACTTATGTTTTAGTTATCTTATTTTGGCATACTTCCTGAACTAGGTTACAAATTTACCAATTCAAAGCAACTTTTTTTTTTTTTGGCTTTATCTGCATTTGTAGATACATTATGTTTATACATAATTATAAATCAAGAACTTACAAAAACAAAATTCAGCTCGGGACTAAAAGAAACAAGTGAGCTGAGACATTCTGGCTTGAAGAGGTGTTACTTAGTGTTAATTGTAAATCAGTCTTGTACACTTAAGTTTATTAACATCTTTACAGATATACTCACTCCATTAATCTGCAAAAGTATAATTTTCTACCAAAGTAATATACATTTGTTTGAATTGATTAACATTAAATTATAATACATACCATACGGCAGATTTCCTACAAATATTGATCTTTTGTTATCATGCTGTAAAACAAACAACAAAAAGAACTGACTCAGGGACTTAAAGAAAAATCTAGAAAAAGATATGTAGTATTTGAATTATGTCTATGGAGATTCTAAATCATGTCATGGTTGTCCCAAAGGTGCTTTTCAAAAGGCAACTGGACTTTGGTTTTCCTTGAAGATGTTTCGCTTCTCATCCAAGAAGCTTCTTCCGTTCTTGAAGTTGCCTTTTGAAAAAGCACCTTTGGGATAGCGTTTGAATTACTTACACAAGTAGATTTTGAAGCAAGGTCAACTCTGATGTGGAATCCACTGGTAATTTCTGTTCCATTACTATGAAATCATTAAAAAAAATGAAATAATATAAATTACCACTAAATTTTATTTGAACATTGTTTATTTTAGAAATAGTATTTAATAATTAAGACTGATATATCTTAAACAATGTGATAATTTAAAAAATAGACATACCATTTTAAGGCATTATTTGCTGCAGATTCCTCCTTGAAAACAACATAAGCATTAACATACTTCATATTAGGGTGTAGTTTTTGCCTAAAGGAAAAAAGAAACCATAATATTTATTATATTTTATACTGCCAGACTCAAAAATAACTCCAGATATTTTACATCATAAAAACATAAAGATGTGTCAGAATAAACAATCCAATAAAAATACAGCAACAATCTCCATTCATTCTAACAATGCCCTCTACAACAATTTAGTCCAAAATAATTTCCAGAAGGCCAGCATTACAAATGCAGCCTAATGGATATTCTATATTTTATAATTGAAAGTTACATTATCACATAAAGATGAACTTTTATGCATTGGGACACTAGTCATAACAGAACTTGGGATTTGCTACATAACACTTAAATTTAAATCCTGTTTAAATTCATAATTAAGGAAGATATATTTTCTATGGGATATATTATAATTTCTTGAATCAAGATTACAGCTCAACCATGGAGAGCCTACTTGAACTACTACTAGGTTTCCCCAGCAAATTGAAAAGCCACAGATTGCCTTCTACAACCCACATAGTCAACTTCTTTTATTCTTTTAGTTACAATTTCTCACAATGTTATAAATCTCTTAATTCAATAGTTAGCATTTGAAGAGGCCGTTATTTGCACTAGGTCTGTTCCAGTTTTACAATTAAAACTTTACTATAATTTGCAAAAGTAGATTACATGTTGCAAAGCTAACTTCAGTTTTAACTTTGACCTAGAATAGCTGAAAGATGCCCTGATATAAGCAAAATGCATTGGTATGATACATCAGTATTTTCGGTTATAAACATTTTGTTTTAAATTAGGGCTAACAGATCCAGGCTGCAAAAAAACATTACCAGCCACATAATTAAGTGACAGCAAAGAACTAGATGTTTTTAAAAATATTTCTTTGCAGTTATCTGGTGGTCATCCAGATTTCTAAAGCCGAGATGTGATAGCCCCAATATAAGAATCAACGAAGTATAACATGAAAATCTATTCTCATGCACAAATTACAACACATACTTTATAGCAGCCATTTTTTTCGATATTGCATCTTCTGCTGGAATCTTCAAGGACAAAAAACAGTATATTATTAAGTAGGCGTCATTTAGCAATATTATGAACATTTACAATTTCTTTAAACCACAGACAATCCAACTCTACAGGACAGATAAACTGGATAAGCATTTCTAGCCATGCCAGCATTCATCTTATAGCATTAAAATAACACAGACACACACACTCATAGGGCCCTCAGTGGGAGACCAAGTCTCTACAATTAAGCAGTCTGGAACCAAGCCTTCAACTGAGAAGAATGTACGCAATTTTTTTCCTCTCTCTCCTTGCCTGGGGGAAAAAGAATAGTTTCTTATATTATGCTGCTGACTTCCTGCCAAGTCCAAGGTTAATTCTGCTGTGGGAGATCTATCCTGAGCTCACAAAGAAACGATGGAAAGAAATTATACATTGGTTCAATTATGCACATCTAGATATAATATTCTCCTGTTCCTCCTTATCTGCTTCTCCATTTATCTAATAAATACAGTATGGTCTACTAGCGGCAGTCATTTAATGTAAGTATTAAGCAGATAGAAAATCAACATGCAGAAGACCTATCAGTAATCTCTTCATAAGGGTCAATAAAAAGAGAATTAAAATAATAGAGTACAAGCAAGGAATTTGTATCTTCCAAACATGTTAGTTTGGAGCCAATTCATGAAATATTAGGCTGAGAAAAATGTTAATGAAAAGAACTGAGTTGTTTAAAACAGTGAAGTATTTATATTATCCAGTAATCTGTCATTCCACATGTAACTCTATGCATGCTTTTCATAACATTATAAAACTTGAGGTGACTTTTTAGAAACAAATTGTCTTACATACTCTTACATAATACATCCAGCAGTTGTCCAAATTAATTAATTTGCTAGTTTCACATCATAATCAATTATGAAACTTGAGATGATTTCTTAGAAACAGAATTGAATTATCTTACATACTAAAATGCATTCAACAGTTGACCAAATTACACTAATTTGCTGGTTTTACACCCAACCATAATCAATAGATTCACTGGTTTATAACAAACTCAATGAAATGATAATTTAAACATCTATGTAACACATCAACAGAAATGCCTATCAATAAAGAAGAATGAAATAAAAGACACGGCACCATAAATTAACAAATTAATGACAATTTTCTCCACATTAATTTGTATTTTAATAGTTTCCACAGGCCAGTCGGGAGAAGGCAAGCTTGATTTTTTAATGAGAGGCTATTCCTCAGCAGTGGTGCCCCTATAGCGAAAGAAACTCTACCTAGCCTACTTAAATATTCAACATTATTTGGTTTCCAACAAAAACCAACCATTTAAATGATTGGCTTTGCTTAACAACCCATGACATTCACTTAACAGCCACAGCATATGCTTAACAACTGTGACGTTTGCTTAATGACTGCTGGGAAAAAAACTTGGAAAATTACTCCTAGTCGCATGGGTGCCTCAATTTATAACTGTAATGACTTACGATTGGATTTTGGATCCCAATTACAGTCATAAGTCAACGACTATCCACAGAGGTCTTCAAAGTTGGCAACTTTAAGACTTTTGGATTTCAACTTCCAGAATTCTTCAGCCAGCTATGCTGGCTGGAGAATTTTGAAGTCCACAAGTCTTAAAGCTGCCAAGTTTGAAGACCTCTGACTATCCATATATGGTACATTTTTGGTGCAAGCCAGAAACTGAGATTATTTACTAGTAAAGAATCACAAAATGAAGTAAATAACATACCAAAGAACGGAAACGAATTGATTCAATTTGTCCATAGTCTTTGAAAAATGCTTTCAGCATCTAAATTCAAAGAGGTATAATTTTATTAGGTCAAGATGTATACCAGTGTTAGAGAAACAGCAGCAAACACTTAATCCATATACAATGAATAGAGCACCAGGAACCCTAAATAATATCTATTTGACCAATGATTAAAGGATATAATAAAAAGAAAGTAGTTGGGTTTTTTTTTCCTAGCAGAATTATTAAAGATTAAATCAAACCAAAAACATTACCCAAAAGTAACTGGGTTTTTTTTTTAAGTTGAGAGAGTAACACAAAAATCTCTACATAAAATACTTTACCCTCTTTCTCTATGCATATTTACTCACAAGAAAATGTGCTTTACAAAATCAGTAGGCCAGCACAGTATAATGGTTATAGATTAATGGAGAGGTCCCTAACCTCCACTGTATCAGGCCGTGGCATACCAGAAATCGGGCTGCACAAACAAGCGAAGCACACAAAACCACACCCCCTCCGGTCCGTGGAAAAATCTCTCCACAGAACTGGTCCCCGGTGCCCAAAAGGTGGGAGCCACTGGATTAACAGATTCAGACTGCAAAAAATGTGGAGCTCTTTTCTTTCATCAGTACATGCAAGCCACATCTACCACCCTTATGGTCAGAGGATTGGATCAGAAACAGAAACCTAAATGCAACTTTCCAAACATTCATAAAATCACATGATTCAGAGCAACATGTTGCAGAGATGAAGAGGAGGGTGAATACTGAACAAATTCGCCCTGTGGCAGAAGACAATCAGAAATGTAATTAATGAATTAAGTATTCAGAACAAAGGTAGTCCTTGACTTAAAATCATTTGTTTAGCTACTGTTCAAAGTCATGATGGCACTGAAAAAAGTGACTTATGACCTGCCCTCTCATTCATGACCGTCACACATCCCCATGGTCACATGACCGAAATTCAAGCGCTTAGCAACCGGCATGTATTTATGATGATTACAGCATTCCAGGGTCACATGATCACCATCTGCAACTTTCCGTCAATGGGTGAAGCTAGATTTGCTTAACGACAATGTTATTCCCTTAATAATTGCAGTGATTCGTTTAACATATTGGACACAAGTCACTTAACAATTACCTTTTTTAGCAACAGAAATTCTGGCCCCAATTGTGGAAATTGTGGCCCCAGTTGCATAAACCAAGGATTAGCTATATTAGCTGAATTGTGGAGATGGTGTAAATTAAATCAGTTATATTTCCTTTTCTTTGACTTATGTTTTAAAATTTTGGATACACCACATTTTACTTCTTTTCTGTATTTTGCTTAAAGTTGCTTATACTAGAACAGAACAGTGATAGATACATATTTATTAATGTAACTTTTTAAAAAATGCTTAGTATAATCTGTTGCTTTAAAGAAAGTATAAATAGCCTTCTACCAAAGTTACTTACTTGTGCTGTATAAGAAACAGGTAAATTCCCCACAAAAAGAGTCCTCTTGTTCTTTAACTTTTCTTTAGCCAGGTTAACTTGGATTTTCTTTTTTTTAATTTGAGCAGCTTCCTCTGAGGTTGGAAAAAGTTTGGTAGCCCTATTTTTCATTTGTATTACGAAAAAGGAAACACAGAAAGACCGTTGCTACAATTTTAGCATGACACATACTGGTAAATAAGTCCTTCTTATCAGAATCAGATTTATTTCTAAGTAATCATACAAAGTACTGCATCTTAAGAGACAGTGCATGTTACAAACAGAATTGTCATGAGGTTTTATCATTGTAATGATATGTGGGAATGACCTTGGGAAACTGGGTAAAGAGATACTGACTAAGGCAGCAGTCGCCAACCTTTGCAGCTTGGCAGCCCGGCTGGGGCAGGGAAGAGGGGAATCAGGCTGCGCAAGCAGCAGGCCGACACGCACACTCATGCACACACAGCTGGAATGCAAGTGTAGCTGCATTTGCCGGCCCACCACTCCGAGTCAAGCTGCACAACACCATGTGTGTACCAGCTCACGGCCCAGCTGTGAATAGGCCATGGCCTCATAGTTAGGGACTCCTGGCCTAGGGAATGGTCATATAAGAGGAAACATAGCCCGCAGCTGCATAGTGGGCAAAGCCAAAGGTTCATGAGAGATCCTCCCTAAGTTATCAATGTGGAAAGGAGATGGTGAGGCAATTTTATTTTCAGATTTGTAAGATTCTGTTAATGTAGCTTTACGGTGAAGTCAAAATAGTCTGGTTATCTGGTAAGGCTGACAATCATTTTCAACTAGAATACAGTACACATGCAGTGCTCAACCTATAACAGTTGATTTAATGACTGTTATGACTGTTTTTCATACTTATGACCATTTTTCAGTATCCCCATGGTCACATGATCAAAATTCAGACGCTTGGCAACTGACTCATATTTATGACAGTTGCAGTGACCTGGGAATTTGTAAGTAAATTCAACAGGGAAGCCACTTCGCAACTGTTACTAACTTAACAACTTAGTGATTCACTTAACAGCTGTGACAGGAAATGCCATAAATGGGGCAAAGCTCACTTAACAAATGTCTCACTTAGCCACAGATTTGGGGCTCAATTGTGGTCATAAATTGAGGACTACCTGTATTTATTTTAATAGCAATAGGGTCTTTTAAAAGGCATGTTACATTTTTAACCTGCTAATCTGCCCTTTCCTTAGGACCCAGAGACAATAAATAACCAATGTGTGAAATTAAGCATAATACATACAGATGCTCTATATAGTTTTTCATTTACCTGTTTGCTACTGTTTCATTTGCTAGAGAGGTATCTTTCTGAGATTTCTTCATTTTTTTAAAAGGCTGTCTTTTAGCTGATGAATCTTGAATTTCTGTGACAATTTCCTCTTCTTTAAGGTTGCGTTTTTTACTTTCCTTTTAAAATTAATACAGTCAAACATGAAAAATTAAAATGTTACACAACCCCAGGAAGGTGAGAATATCCACATATAGTTTTGCTAAGTTTGGAAATTTACTAGTTACTAATGCCACATAGCATCCCAGATTGTATACCTTACGGACAACTGCTCATGTTAATTGTTGCACCTACGAATTTTATATCTTTGCTTTAATTCTACTGTAAGATGCCCAGAGTTGCTTGGATAGTGAAACAGGCAGCATATAAAATTAATAAATAATATAAAATCTTAAGATAGTACATCGGTAACTTACATTTCTCAATATCTCTATGCACATCTCCCCTTATATAACGATATTTTTAAGTTTTGATTTTAATAAAATCAAAATAATAATAATAATATAAAATCATTCATGGAATGGAAAATATGCACAATAAGATGTTTTTTACATAATACACAAATTGTTCAATTTACTATCAACAGGTGTCACTAAGCTAATTTTTAAAAGGAATGGAAAATTTAATGGCAGTTTGGGCTATTAGCAACTACTAATCTTGATTGGTTGCTAGCTACCTTTCAAATTAGAGCAGGGGTGTCAAACTGGTGGATGTGTCATGCGCAGGCCACCCCCACCCCAGCCCTGCAAAGGGAAAACATGTCGCGATACGTCATGTGACGGCAACATGACACAGCAAGTTTGACTCCCATGAATTAGAGGAAGAAGTCTTTAAATACCAGCTTTTATAGTGGTCAGTGATACAAAAACAAAAGTCTACTCCCTTCCTATCTATGATGGTGAGCTTAATGACTGTATCTAGATGTCTATGATGTGATAAACTATGGATTACATAAAATTGGGGCCCTGAAGCAACAGGGTCTTATGAAGACTGGATATCAACTGTGATTATAGATATGTTCTTTTGTTCAGATATGTCTGAAACTGGTTCATAGGTCAACAGCATTTTCATGATGCTGTTGTCACACCCATTTTAGAACATAAATTAGTTAACTTACTTTTGCCACAGCAACATACATCGGCTGTTTTTCAGCCCCAGGAGCACTAAAGAGTTGTAGGAGGACATCTGAATCACATGCTGCAGATTTGTTTTGAAAGAGGCTGCCGGCCACTTGCCCCACAACATAATCGTCACTTGATTCAGCAACAGCATTCCTGCCACATATTTTCCTATTTAAGAAACAAGTCAAGATTCACTACAGGAAACAACTGCATCCAAAAACATTAACTGCTGGTCATTTTCCCTAAGGTTTTTTAAAGGTATAAAAAGAGGGGATAGTGTTATCAACTGTGGAATCCTGTATGAGGAGAAACTTGTAAGAAATTTGCCAGTTTATAGGGCACTGGCACTTAAGAATGCAGTGTTTATTATAGTACTGTAAACATAATTGTCCATGTTTTATTACTAGCATGTCATCCCAAGCTTCTGTGTGTATGTCTTTGTGTCAATGCTGACTTACTGCCCGGCTGCCTGTACTACTAGTCCTTGCAGTTTTCTTGGCAATATTTCAAAATATTGCCATTGCCTCCTTGCCTCCTTCCCATGGGTAAATAAAAAGAATCTCTGGTCAACAAGGAGCTTTGTGTCAAATGCAGAACTAGAATTCCCGGCTTCTAGCCTGGTGCCTTTAAACCACTGCATCAAACTGGCCCTGAATCGTTTAATTGCCCCAAATCAGCTTTCAAGCTACCGGTGCTTTTTCAACAGATCAGCAGAATGAGGGGAAATGGGGACGCGGGCTTGGAAGGCGAAACACGTGGTACCCCAGGCGCAGCAGCTGGAGGTCCAGCAACTCTCACTTCTTGGAGGAGCCACCACAAAACATGATCTGGCTCCGGGACCAAAGAAACAAAACAACCGCCAAAAGCCTCCCCCCCTCCCCCGACCGCTTTGGGAGAAGACGGGCAAACAACGAACATCCCCACAACCGCAGTCCTCACCCTGCGGCTGCCGTCCGGGCGCGCTTCATCTTCGCTCGGAAGCCTGCTGCTGCTGCTGCAGCCACTTCCGCCTTCAAGCATAGATCTAAACTAGCAAAGTAGAGGAGACTTCATGGCCTTTCAAACTTGGCGGAGTTTGCACAAAATGCACAAAACACGGGTACATTCGCTTTGGTGTCGTCCGGGTTTTTTTTTTTCCTAGGCCAGTGTTTCTCAACCTTGGTAGCTTGAAGATGGGTGGACTTCAACTCCCAGAATCCCCCAGCCAGCAGCGCTGGCTGGGGTTTTTTTTTTTTTGAAGTCCACCCATCTTCAAGCTTCCAAGGTTGAGAAACACTGGCCTAGGCTATATTTGAGCAGGCTGGCACTTATGGCATGACTGACCAGAAAAGACCTTTCGGTAGGGGTGTATGCCTTCTGATTGAAACTTGGAGAAACTATTGAGAGGAAACTTACAAAAATTGATGCGGCTCCCATCCTTACATCATTCTTCAGGAGGTGTTTGAAGATCTGGTTATTTTCGTCAGGCAAGGTGTGATCACGGAGGGCCCCCCCCTTCTTCTTCTTTTTTTTTTTACAATATTTGGTTTTGCTTTGACTTGCTTTTTTTTATATTTTGCTTTTCCAGCCCTGTTTTTTTTTTTTTCCTTTAATAAGTTGGGTTTTTACTTGATAGCTGCTCAGAATGGTTTTGGAGTCAAGCAGTCTCTAAATAAAATTTTAAATGTTTAAGCAAACCAGTAATGAGCTGAAGGGTCGAATCATGTTTATTTAACTATGGTTTATTGAATAAGCTATAGTAGGCTGGCAGCTATAAGCACTGATGCACTGCAGGAGTGGATAATCCTAAACATGGGTATGCTATCCAATATAGTAGTAATTGAAGTTCTGTTACTAATATAGGAGGGCCAGTTTGGTGTAAGCATCAGGTTATAATTTGGGAGGCCATGAATTCTAGTCCTGCCTTGGGCATAAAGCCAACTGGGAGATCTTGGGCCAGTCACTTCCTCTCAGCCCTAGGAAGAGGCAATGGCAACTATTTCTGAGAAACCTTGCCAAGAAAACTGCAGGGACTTGCCCAGACAGTCTCTGACAACTGGATATGACAGAAATATATGTGCAGTTTACTTACTGATGTACAAGGCTCCTAGACCATCAAGCCTAGCTGTTCTTAATTAACAGGTGGATTGAGCTGCCTAGGGAAAACAGTGTGCTGAGTTTAATGTTGTTCAGAATGACGGCTGTTTTACAGCAAGGAGATTGAACTGGATTCCAACCCAGCCTATCTCTAGAATAGATCATAACATTAGGAGTGAATCACTTTATGGTAGTATTTCTCAATCTTGATAAATTTTAAGATGCATGGATTTTATCTCCCAGAATTCCCCAGCAATCCTGTTTGTAGGGGAAATCTGGAAGCTTAAATTTACATATCTTAAAATTGCCAAGATCGGGAAACCTTGTATCAAGGGTTTGCCTTTAGATGACTACCTCTTTCTAATTATAAAATAAAGCCATGCATTCGAACCAGCATATTTTTTTTTTTCAAAAACAATTTTTAAAAAAAATGTAAATTAGGGTGACATATCATATTTTGCTCCTGGATAAATGCAAGGGTCTGCCATCACTGTTTATTAAGACTTGATTTCTCCATATATTTCAGTGGACTGTTTTCATTTCCTCTTGTAGAGACAGAAATTATAGATTTCTGTCCCGGAAGTCTTGAGTTCGAAAAACGAGGTAAGAGCACTCTAGCATTTATGTCTTCTATGTAGTATACAAGCGTTTAATTACGGTAGTATTTCGACCACAAGGCTGAAGCGTTCCGTTTTTGTCTCCCCGTCGCCGGGGTTGTACGTCATAGCGAGCTAATAGACTCGATTGAAAAAGAAGTTGTGCGCGCTCTCTGCTGGGTGTCTTATTCGGAAATGCTAGATGGTAGCAAAGGGACTCTTAAGAACAAAAGGCAGGAAACGAGAGAACTACGGTACATTTATTTAGTCCGGTGTTTTAAATACGTCAGTAAAACCGTGACCCCAAAATGCTTAACTAGTCTTTCCGCTTAACTAGTCTTTCCGCTATACCAATTGTGAATCCCTTGTTACTCATATAATGATCTATTCAATTTTTTATACTGATTAAGTGCCATCAAATAATTGTCGGTTATTTTTTTTCATTTATAGTTCAAAAATACATCTGTATCTTTCAAACTTAGGGAACTTTATAACCCCTATATTAACAAACGTACGGATATTAAACTGAAAGGGAAAGATAGCAAGGTATATCCATATTGTATGTTCTCATCAATTTTACAGCATAAGGTTGACCAATCAAGTCTTTTTAAATATTTTCTCAGGGACCAATAAACACACACAAAATGATAGTTTGAATTAATCTTGATTTATATTCTTTTAAACCCAACCATTGATTTTTTTTATTGACTTGTTTTTGTAAATATTTATCCAGTTTTTGTAAATATTACTCTTTACTCCAGTTTTTGTAAATCTTTACTCCAGTTTTTGTAAATCTTAATATCTACTTGAATGGTTTTTAAACATTTATAAATATTGTAGATTTAAAAGCATCAATTTCCCATAACCTGAGAGTTTTAGATGATGCATCTTGCTTACATTGCAAATTTAAAAGGTACTTGATTGAATATATTGCTATATTTCAGGCAATCAAATTATCTCTTACAACAATGCAAATAAGTTTAAATCTTGATTGGTTATAACCTGATTCAAGTGTTATACCTCAGCTTCCACAGGATTTAAAAACTAGAGTTCTAATTTTCAAACTAGGATTGTCCCATATAAGAAGAAATATGCTTTCATTTCTACATTTTTACGGTAAGTATGTTTTGCATCACCTAATGCAGGAAATGCAGTAAAGCTATGTATGGCTAATTACAGATTCAGACTCCAAGATTTGGAAAGCAAGGGGCTACCTGGAATACACCCTTTAGGAATATAGTTTGGACTGTTTCAAGAGAAGGAAGTGCAAGGTCCTGGCTGGGCATCACCAAGCCTTACTGAAGTACAGCTTCAGTGCTGCTGGGATATGCTGGGCTTCCCTGGTGAGGTAAAAAGATTAAATTGCAACCAGTTTTTTTTTAAATATACCACTTAAATTTAATTCTTGTCCTTGGAAAGTATTGCAAGCTTATAAATGGAGTTTAATATGGTGGTTACATGGCAACTTTTAAACTCTTCACAAGTGAGTTTTTTTTACATTTGTAAAGCTCCTTTTTTGCATTTGCAACCAGAAAGCTCAACCGACCAGTTAATCAAAATTTGATTTATTGTTAGTCCCAAGACCAAAACCCCATTTAGAGCCACATTGGTTTAATATTTTATGAGAGATTAGTGCCAAATTGCTTTCCACATTATATTTATTGTTAAATCTATAAATTATATTATGTAGAAATGAATTCTGCTTATTTCCTATTGTTTTTTTATTGGAAACAATATTTTAAGAAGCTAACACAGCTTTCTAAGGATTGGTCATAAGAGCACTTTGTAGCAAGTATCCTTTTCAAGCAGAATACAACATTTCATGTGTAAAACACCCAGATAGATGCGGAATTGTTTGTGAATGCACCAGAATTAAAATTAGTTTTGCTAATACCTGGGACATTGAATACAACCTAATTATTTTTGGTAAACTGCAATCTCAGCTCATGTGAACAAGTTTGAAAAAGTAACAGATCTCTTCCAAATTGTTTGGAAAAGACGCAGTCAGACAGCCCCGTTATGGTTTACTGATGAACAATGTCCTGGTGCACACTGCTTAAAATATAGGTTTGCTTCATCTGCAAGTAGGCAACATTAATAATAAATTATAGATAGCTCTATCAGTGGATTGTTTAGCATATCCAAATCATGTCCTCTGCTTTGTTCCTCAGAAGGAAAGCCAAAGAAAAAAATGCAAATATATTGCATCTTATTTGAGGCATTTGTTCCAAAGAATTCCAAACCTTTCTTTGGACAAAAGAGTTTACAAAATAGGTAACTACCACAAAACAGAATGGTCTGCTCTTTTTTCTTATTTTGTATATCATGAGGACCAGTACAATGTCTGCAAAATTTGGAGCAGTATTAAGTGATACTAATTTCTAATTAGATCAATTATGGATTATTGGGGATTTTTTTCTTTTTATATAGTTGCAACTTCCTCTCTTGGAATGGGAGGGAATATTTAAAGGTGCTTACCCAAATTAAGATGACAGAAATCTCTGCAGGTATGAGGGAGTTTGAAAGGTTTACAGCCTACCTAAGGGCTTGGGTTCTTGTTACCTTGTTCACTAATCAATGTTTACACATTCCCCTTTGGGCCCTTTTGATATTAGGAACTCCTAATAATTTATAGAGGTAGGAAAGATAATTTAAGGCTGAAATCTAACTGAATTTTAAACTTGATCAAAAAGAACATTTATGTTGCCCCAATAACAAACGTTATTATGACCAACAAATGAACAACACTGGATTTATAGCTGAAACTGCTGAATATGCTGAAATGTCTTAATTAAACTGTTAGAAACAGAATCCAGTATTCACAAACTATGGCATTTTATTTCAGAGGCCTTTGCTTACATTTGTACAATATATTACATAATTCCATTGTCTGCAGAACCTAATATATATTTTATAGCTTTTCTTTATATGCCTTTCCTTCAATGTTTGTCAACAATTTTTACAGTCCTGTACATATCTGAAGAGTTTGAAACCATTTTCAATAAAATCAGTTACCTTTAAACACACACTACTAAGACTGAAAAGGCTTTTCTTAGAAAAGTCAAATGTAAAGATTCGGACACTCTAGCATCTACAAACAGAATGTTTGAAATTCTTACATGTTGTATTGCCAGAAAAAGAAAAAAAGAAAAACATGCCAGCCCCCATAAGCCCAGCCAAAAGAAGTACACAGAACTACAATTAAAACAGTAAAACAATCTGTACAGTAAAGTACTGTGTATTAACAGTGCCAGGTATTAAATAGCTCGAATGAACACTCCCGCAATATACAAATGTCTTACAAAGTTGTGTAATTAAATACAAGTGCCAAACGAGAGGGCATGGGTTCCATACAACATAAAGTCAATAGAAGTGAAAACAGCTGAGTTGATTTTGGATTTTATACAAGGCAATTAAAAAAAAATCATTTCAACCACTCAGTTAGCTATTTATATTATAAACAACTATCCCTTTGTGGCAATGTTCTTCTCAACAATGACTTAATATTAACACCCTTTACTCCTTCTTGAAGACCTCTCAATTGCAGCTCATAATAAAATAAGCATTACTAATGAAATATTTGTTGCTTTAACTGAAAAGAAACTTTTACAAGAAAACACAAAAATATAAGTGTTATAATTCATTATGAATAAATATACACTTTAAACTGGCTAAATACAATCTTTGTACATTAAGATTTAATACAGTTTGTTAGCCGTTTTCTTCCTTTTTCACAATGTGTTTTTATCAAAATTAAAAAAAATACTGATTCATAGAAAAATGGCAAAGTACAGTAGTTTCATTCCAATTCATGGGTTATCAAAAACCCATGATAACCTATTTTGCCTAATTCAAACCTGTAAACATTTGTCAGCCTTTTAAGCAGAATCCTTATATTTGGTTGTCAATCTGATGAGAAACATCCTGTTAACGGCAGGTTTGGAACTGAATTACCTGTGCTTGACTTGTACAGTTATAGTCACCATTAAGGCAACAGTTAAAAAACAATTATCTTGTAAAAATGAAAATAGGTTCATTTTTCCTAAAGAATGGAAAAATATCAAATGTTCCAGCTTTAACAAAATACCAGGGAATACGTGAACAGTAAGCCACTTTAATGTTTTAATTTGGCCTACCCAACAACTCACGCTTACCACATTGATTCTACTGGCAGTGAACAACTTCCATTTGCCACAGTGGAAGGCCTTCAATTCATTCAGCATACAATTCCCAGACAAGTTGGAAACAATTATTGCTTGAGGAAAAGCAGTCTGTTGTACTTTTTCTTCATAAAAGTGCACTTAAGTGCAAAGTTAGCTTGTCAAGATTTTTTTTAAATACAAAATAGTGCTTGTCTGAATTTTGTGCCACTGTGCAGTATAAAAAGTGGCTCTCAGCAGCCATTAAGTGCAAAGTGCTTCGGCAAGTCTTGCTGTCACCTGCACTCGACTGACATTCCATTCTGTGATGAATTGGACACGGGTGGGTCTGCTAAACTTAACATAACTGCTGCCGTAATGGTACTGGAGGAAGGCGACGAAGAAGAGGAGGATGTGGTAGCAGCACCTGCAATGATAGTAGTAAACAAATAAATTGTCCCGTCTGAATGTTTGCTACTGAAACTAAAATAGAGTGTGATTCATATACATATGTATATTTTAGAAAAGTAGTTGCTCAACCCTTGTAGTCTACAAAGTAACTGTAAGGACTTATGGCCTTGTAACTGTAAAATGTAACTTACGGCCACAATTGAGCCGAACATTTTCTGTTGTTAAGGGAGGCATTTATTAAATGAGTTTTGCCTCATTTTATGACATTTCTTGCCACAGTGGTTAAGTAACTCATTGCCATTGATAAGTTAATAACATGGTTGTTAAGTGAATCTGGCTTCCCCATTGACTGCTGGTTAAAAGGTTGCAAAAGGAGATCATGTGACCCTGGGACACAGCAATGGCCATAAGTATGAGTCAATTACCAAGCATCTGAATTTTGATGACATGATCATGGGGATGCTACAAAGGTCGTAAATATGAAAAACGGTCATAAGTCAATTTTTTCAGTACTGTTGTAACTTTGAATGGTCACTAAATGAACTGTTGTAAGTCAAGGACTAGCTGTAGTTATGCACAATTATGGACACTCTTATTCTGAATTAAGCTAAGAAAAGGGAAGACTTCACCCTTAATAATGCTAACTATCCCTATTTTTATAGTAGATCTCTGAGAATTCACTAAAATCTTGTAGTATTACATTGTTTATTTTAAAATAAGAAAAAAAATATGTGGGATGACCGAATTGCTTTTATATTTTTGAAGAAATCCAGATAATTTAGTGCTCCTTTATAAGTGCACTTCCAACTTAAAAGCAGTAAATCAGACAATTTATTTCTATAAAAAGCAATCATCAGAGTACTTTTTCTGAATTTAAAATTGCAGCATCAGGCAGATCCTTTGTTCAAATAATGCCCAAATACATACAAACTATGCCCCCAAGGCCTATGTATGTTTTCACTTGCTTTCAGAATTGAATATTCCTCAAATGCTTTGTTCATTGTTATCAGTCAATATGTAAAATAATGTTAAGGCCCTGCCATATTGAATACAGAGTTGGGATACATAGAAAGAAATTGGCTCAGTTCTAAACAAATGGCACTTAAGATGATGGTAAGTGTAACTTTTTCTTACACATGCCAGAAGTAATTATCAGAAATATAAGGATAAATACTAGAATGTGATAGTTTGTGGATATTATGAAAATTAGTTGCTGGTATTTAGATATTAGTTTGAACCGTGCCTGTAGTAGCTCCATTTTTAAGAAATCTATGCGTGAAGCAAAAAGTTGGCTAGTTTTTCCCACTCACCCCTCCAGAAATGGATGTTGTTGACTAAATAATTGTAATGAAATAACACTCTCTTTCTTCCAAACTCGCTTGCATCCCCCTCACCCACCAATACTAACAAAGTTAAAACTTAAGTCCACTTGTGGACCTTTGTTTTACTGTGTCTCTCCCTAGGAGAATTTTTAAAAATCCATTTGTATTTGCAGATTTTAAGCTTGAAAATAATAGGTGAGATAAAACAGAGGTGTTAATCCTTATTCTAGAGTCTAGAAGACACTAAAATTCTATAGATTCTATAAATCTAAAAACCCATATGGAACAACCAAGCCTGTTATGAAAACTCTTCTTACAAAAACATTTTCTTTTTTCAAACAAGAAATTTCAATTCAAAGTCATTAAATATAATCCTAACAATTGCAGAGTAATATTTTAAAAGACAATTAAGGGTGAAATTCTAAATTTAGGAATTCTATTTAGTCCCAGTAAAAAAAACAAAAAAGGGGAGGGGGAGAGGGGCATATTTCGGCCTAATCACTTACTTTCCCGCTCTTTTTTCTTCAAACGCTTTCTTCTTCTATCAATGGAAGCTACTTCAGATTTTAAAGACATGTAGTGTTTCCTGATTTCCTGAAGTTTTTCTTGAAGGATTGAAATGCGTTCTGCACTGGTCATATTTTCTAAGTCAGCTGGCAAATAAAGCAACTTTTATTAGCCCAAATCAAAATCCCAGTTCATTTTTATTTAGTGAAAGCAATACATATAAAGCATTATATTCAGCATCTCTCAACAATGGAATCCAATCTATGCCAGTTCCTCGGCCCCTTTGGAAAAAGCAATTCTTGACAAAATGAATAGATAACTGTTGCTCAGGCTTATAATATTTTTATTAGTCAGTGGAGGCCAATTTTCATAACTTATGTTTGTTCAATCCCTCAGAGCTAGTTACTTATACATAGAGTAATTACGACATTTATACCAGTATGTCAGTTAATTAACAATTACACATCTTGTGACTGAACTGTTTTTGTGAGCGAAAATTGAAAAAAACAGTAGGAAAGGCTATGATAAAGTGAAAACTTTTCCCATAAATAAACATGGTGGAAATAAAGCCAGTGTAATAATAAATGGAATATTTACTAAAAGATTGAATATGGAGTGCAGAATAAGATAAAAATATTCAAAATCCTTTTGGTTATTTAATTACTTATGGATAAAGGTTTAATGAATCCTTAGGGTTAAGTTTGGGACTAGGAATATTATGTGAGAATTCTGTTGTTTGTATGAAACTTAAGAAGGCTGTATGATGCAATGAAGAGTGTATAATGCAATGAAGGGTATGGATCTGAATGTTAATGTACAGGTACTTTTTCCTTAACCTGTTAAGAGTGAAACTTTGGGAGCTACGTGCCTTGTCATTTCAACTTGTCATTAGAGGAAGGAGGTGTTGGTGTTGGTTACAAAAAGGTTAACTGGAGCAATGAAACTTCTACAGCTCCACTGAAGTGCAAAGTGAAATGAAAAGTAATATAGGAATCCATGTGTGGATATGATAAAAATAATGATTTTCAATAATACAAATTTATGGAGAGGTATGGTGAACAGTGTAGGTATAAATTAGGTGTAATTAGATTTCCTTTAATCTCCTCTTCCCTTTAATTGAGCTTTTACTACTTCTTATACTTTTTAGAGCTTTGCATAGTAATGCTTTTTCATATAGTTTACTGACTGTATTTTACTTCATCATATGGAAATGAAAGGTTATGTCCATTCTTGAGAATTCAGCAGATTTGAATTCAAAACACTTGGTACACTTTCAGAATTCAGGAGAGGCAAACTCAGCCACAGGAAACTTTACTTACATAATTGGAAACTCCATTTGTAAAGTTTTGGCAAACGACTGTTCTGTTCTTTGAGATCGGAATCTTTTTCTCCATTTTTCCCACATTTTCCAGGAGACTGTATTCTAGCTGGAGCTTTTGTATGCTGAGATTTCACTCCTGTAGAAACTGATTTTGCTGTCTGAGATTTGGTAATACTTTCTCCAGCAGAAAGTTCTTCGCTATCACTACTGTTTGCTGAAAGAAGAAACAACAAATGAACTTCATAGGCTTAGATTGATAAACATTTCAGCGCTTCAAATACTTATATACAGTCACAAAAAGCATTATCTTGTCCTCCAATAAAATATATAATGGAATATTTTTATAGACAAATTAAAAACTTGTATTGTTTTTAGAGATAAGTAAGAATATGACTCACTTTGGGGGCACTGCACAGTTTCCTAAGGGTGGAAGCAATCTTTAAGCGGGGTTCAATTTAGAATGTTTTGGCAGGCTGAAAGAGGAAGGGGAAGTACTTTTAAAGGATCTTCAGTGCTTTGGGGGAGATCAGAGGGCTTCAGAGAGAAGGAACCAGCAAAAATTGCTTCCTCTCTATTCTGTCAATATAAATACACGGTATGAAACTTTTCTTTCTTCCTGACTTCAGAAGGATACTTTTGGATTCAGCTCATGATCTATTCATAAGTTTTAAGACCAAGTTTTACACTCCATCAATTTGCCATACTTACTACTTTTGTTCTTCTTTTTGTTGTTCACCACAGATGCTTTATGACTTCTTTTCTGCTTTTTCGAGGGACCACCACCCTGGCTATCTTTAAGTCTTTTCTGGCCTGTACAAGCTTTATTAACATAAAAAGAAGATATTTTTACATGAATATATCAGAAACACATTTTAATTTTTATCATTATATCATTTTGCCACAATCTACTATTTTGCAGTGATAACCTTTTTACAACCTAGTTGGAAACAATGCAACTGGCTTCAAAATGGCTGCAGCTTAACATAAAACCATTTTAAAATGTATTAATTAAATTTTTTAAAATAATCAGACAGCTTCATTAAGCTATCAGGAAACAGCGCAGTAACATTTTAAAAGGAAGTGAGAGAACAGAATTTTCAAAAATTCATAGTTAAAAATCAGTGGTGGGTTTCTATTGGTTTGCCCCGGTTCGGGCGAACCAGTAGTGGTGGCGTCAGAAGGCTCCACCCACCCACCCGGACATCATCACGGATGCTCTGCGCATGCGCAGAAGATTCTGCACATGCACAGAAGTGCTGCCTGCACGCTCCCAGTTCTGAACCGGTAGCAAAGGTAAGTGGTACCCACTACTGGTTAAAATCTTACTCATACTAAATAGGAAAGGATTATGAACCTCACATAATCTCTCTCAACCGAAGATTCTGGACTAGACATAAAGGCAGCCCCACATAGAAACCAATATACTAATCAGGCTTGAATGTAAACAGCATATGAACTAATTACATGGTCATTTTATTCTGGGAAGATATGTAATTGACATGTCATCTGAGGTGAATTAAGGCACTCCTGGCCATTGCCTCCTCCAGAGAAAGTTTGGGATACACACACACACACTGAAACTCTTCATTTTCTCTCTGGGACAACATGACTTCATTCAGTACAGGAAGATCTACCAACTTTTTGAACTGTGACACCCTCCTCCCCTCCCTCCAATGAGCACCTCCATCTTGCCTGGATTCAATTTTAGTTTATTATCCTTCACTGAATCTACTTTTGACTGCAGTAGGCTTTCAGGATAACCAAACCCTTATTTGATAATGTTATAGGGATCATTTGGGGATTATTAGTATATTAATAGTACCCAGCTCCATATTTTACAGAAGAGAGCTATAAGGAGCTCCTTATATTTCCCCTTTCACACAGCAACTATCCCCAAATTACATAATTTGAAAGCTGTCTTAAGAGAGAAGAATAGAGCCACTTCAAAGCAATTCTTCATATTTTAGGAAGATAATTCTGGACAAGGGATGCAAATTACAGAAGCAGTAGAACAGTTCTTTGTTCCACTTTCTAGCTCACTCTCATTTCTACTTCTATCTTTTCCATTATCTCACCTTCACCAAAGGGTACTCTATGAACGGCTATGGGCCATCTGAGAATATCAGACCTTGTTAGAATAGGGGCTTTCACTAGATTTTAAGATCCCCCAGACACATCTCTGAAATCACCTCCAGGCAAGCCAAACAATATTTATCTAACTCACACTGTATGCCCTATCCTTGGATCATTACAGGCTGGAAAGTCAGAAGAAAATATCCTAGTTTGTATCTCCAATTATGATGTAGTTTTGTCACAAGAAAAATGGCATGTGGGAGCATTGTGCTTGGAGGATTGTAAGAAGTATTGTGGAAGCAGAATTTGGAGTGGGATACGGGGAGCTTTACATTTGTCTTGTTTGTTAGTTTCTGCTTCTTTACAGGTCCAAATCACTAGTTTACAATCCCTACAATATGTCAAACAATGTGAAAAATTGAAATGCCCTGCATTATTTAAATTCTTCAAGAGTCATTTATTGTTAATATATTCATTCCTCCCTTACTTATTCGAGTTCAAATCAAAACTGTGGGAAGAAAAATAAAATTAGGTTTATTAAGTAGGTTTCCATCAATGTATTTTATACCGGCTGGAAACTTCAGTTCAAAAACTAGGCTTGATGATGAGCTTGTGATCAAATTGCATAGTCAATCCCCAGATCAGATAATAATATTGCCACTGTTATTGCAACAATCCAATAACAAGATTGGGAATTTTAAAGGGTTCTGCTTTATAAAATTTTGCTTTAAACAAAAGTGCTTTTTAAAATGAATCTGGCAGTATTAAATGGATCTATTACCAGTGATATTGGCAAATATATTATTAGACTGGTAGTAACCCATCTTTGGTTGGTAATAAAGTAGTATTGCTGAACGCTACTCATTTAAGTTTACAGTTGCCAACCAATTTGATCATTGTCCAAATATATTTAACAACATTTGATAGAATTCTTTTACTATCCTGCTATTTTCATAACAAAGCTTGCCCAGGTGTTATTAGATAAGTCTTCTTAGACTGATGGTAAGACTGATGTAGTGTCACATAACAACCATTTAAAATTATGATGACCCATAAAGCACTTTCTGGCATTGTAAAATATCCTCTGGGCACATGATCACATTTCAAGTGCTTGGCAACCTGCTCGTCTTTACAACTAGTTGCAGCATCCCACGATCACATGATTATGATTTGTGACTTTTTTGCCAGCAAAAACTGCCCTTTCGGAAGTATGGATTAGCACTTGCGACCATGGTATTTTCTTAATAGCTGCCAAATCAATAAAATGCAAACTAAGCACCTGCAAATTAAGTCCTAGGTAGATTGGATATGAATTGATCCTGTAAGACAAACAGCCAAAGATTCAAGGCAGGCAGATTTACATTAGTTTATGCTATAGTGCTAAACATCTGGGAAAAAGTCGTCTTTGAAATGTGGTTCATCCCTATTTGTGGCTTTAAGTGACTTAAGCTTGGATTCAATTCAATATTCAGGAGCAAACTGTGATGCAAATTTAATGATTCCCTAATTGACAAGTATCTATTCCTATGAATATTTAAAACTTATGAGAACAGAAGTAAAAGTAAGATGTAATGCACAAGGACATCTAACCAAAGAAATAGCAGTGAAAGAAACAGAGAGGCTGCTTTGTTACCTCCCACTACTAAGCCATTTTAAGCAACCAGATTTTCTATCCTAAGATGGGCCAATAACATGTCAACTCACTTTTATATGCTGACTATGTTGTAGTTTTGCCTTTGAATTCTGTTAAGACCTGTAAATTGATGTGCTATAAACTATTCCAAGTCTAAGAGTTGAGCATCCGAGTTACACAATTGGCAAACAGGAGAACACATCATCAAACAAGTCAAAAATTTTAAAAACTTAGGGCTGGCTTTCCAAACCTCTGGAGCCTGAAATGCCCAAGGGACTATGTATCCCAAAGAACACAGAGATCATCCTCAGCTATACAAGCTTTCTATTTTAACTGAGTTGCACAGTTTATCCAGCTGCTGTTAAATTATGCCCAGCTATTGTATGGGATTCAATTAGAGCTTTGTAGCAGGATGGTTAGTTAAACCTAAATTCTCAAGAAATGTTTTCCTTGTCCCTTGCTGTGTCCCAAATATAATGTTTCATTAAGAAGCAGAAGTATTTATAGGTTCTGGATTATCTTTAATTTTTGATTGAAATTGTTGCATAGCTCAGGTGGATTGGCCACTTTAATTAGCAAATGATTTTTATTCCTGCTGGAGAAAATATAATTATATGAAATTTCATTTCTGTGTTTTTTTCTGGGATGCTCTTTTGCCTTTGAGGTTACAGCATGCTAACTTAAGTTTGAAACAAAGGATTTTAGATATGGAAGGTCAATTGGACTATGCACTTGTCCCCATGATGCATTTATTAACAGCCAGTTTCTACATCTTAAATCAGTCAATTACTTGTACAAGATCACTTTCAAAATTCAAAAGAACCTTATCCCCGATCCATTTTAATGTTCTCCTCACAGCAGTATTGGAAGAGAAATATAGGAAAATCCCATTTAATACATGATGGAGTCCCTATAGTGCAGGTGTGATAGAATTACAGCCTATGTTTTGTTATACTGTCAGTTCTGTGCAGTAGAAATCTTTGTAGTTGTTTCCCCTCTCCTTTCTAAATCTGTATGGTATTCTGACTCATTTTACTTATTGTTACTTATTAGATAATAAAGGCAATTATCTGTCCTTAAATTGTCAACACTGTTATACTATGTGCATGAGCTCTGCCTGTAATCGATAATGATTATGCAATGTTTTACTGTGCAAGTTTTTTCTTTTAGTCCATGAATGGGGAAAAATATATCACTTAAAACTGATGAGATGTCAATAAGATCTTCAGACAGAATTAGCCTCAGGTCAATAAAGGCAGTCAAAACCCTAAAGCTTGATCTGAAGATGCTTGAAATGAACCAAGCTATTTGGGGGAGAATTAGTTTTACTAAAGCAAAGATTTATCACTGATTTTCAATGGGCCTTTGCAGCACAGGTACTCCTTGACTCACAACCATTCAAAGTTACCACAGCACTGAAAAAGGTGACTGACTGTCCTCGCACTTACGATTGTCACAGCATCCCCATGGGCATGTGATCAACAACAGCTGCAGTGTCCTTAGACTATGTGATCATCATTTGTGACCTTCCTAGCCAGCTTCTGACAAGCAAAGTCAATGAGGGAAGATGGATTCCCTTAACAACAATGGGATTCACTTAAGAATTGCAATGATTCACTTAACTACGCTGGCCAAAAAGGCTGAAAACTGGGTGTGGCTCACTTTAACAACTGCCTTGCTTAGCAATGGAAATTTTGATCCCAACTGTGGGCATAAATTGAGGATTACCTATATTTTAGTTTTGTGAGGTGAGGCTATAATGCAAGAATGTGCAGATTAAAAAGAAAAAGAAAAAAAAAAAACCAGAAAAATATTTTGGTTCTATTGATGTGGTTTAACTAGCAAAATAAACTAAATTAAAATTTCAACACAGTAGTTTATTAAAAAGAGTATTGATAGGAATAAAAATATTTTATTACCAACTTCAGAGTACTCAATTTTTTAAAAAGATTACTGATCTAACACTCAGACCATATTACCCTAGCTTCTAAGCATCTCATTTTCAGCTAGGATATGAAAAACCTATTTTGAATAGGTGGTAATATAAGAAAACTCAAAAGAGCAAACCTGAAAGGGAAAAAAAAACAATACAGGATCTACCAGTTTGTTAGCAATGGCAAATAGATACCATATGGTTAAAATTACCTTCACAACCAGCTGCATCATCGTTTAGCAAACTCTCCACCCAACCACTCCATCAGGGCAAATACTATAAATAATGCCACTCTGAAAACTGAAACTATCTTACTCAATTCCATGGTTGTCTATAATGAAGCAGATTAGCCTTTCTGAACTCAGCACTGTCTGAATGTATTGGAACATAACTTCCATAATCTCTAGCCAGCTAGACATATACTAAATGGAACTGTATTTATTATACCTTTCTCAGGGTGTTCTGGTTGATTACTGCTGCTGGAGCTGACACTGGCATCAAAGCCTGTAGGAGATACATTTCCTTCAGACTGAAGGTCCTGCAGTTCTCCTACAATACTGTCCACCTCAATTGTGCTATCCGTTTCACTCTTGATGCTTCGTACTTCTTCTTGACTTGGTGCCAGGGTTTCAGAAATAGATATGCCCGACTGATGCCTGCTGGAATCTGCTACTGTTACAGATGGGGGTGACTCAGGTGTGGTGGGTGGGGTGTTTAGAACTGAATTACTGCCACTACTTGGGAACTCAACTTTCTTGTCATTCGTTTCAGCTGGCTTTTCTTCAACAGGTTTTGCATCTGTGCTTAGTGGCAAAGATCTTTCAACTTTAGAATCAGACAAAGAGGTATCCTCTTCCTCAAGGGTTTGCAGATGCTCCTCTGGTGGTGCCTGCTCAGGAGAAGCGTGGGGTGGAGAAGCTGCTGCTTCTGTGTCAGAATCTGAAAAAAGTTCTTTGAGAGTCTTTTTAGGCCATTGTCCCTGAATACTTGACCACACATCTTTCCGGTCTTTTGCTCTGGTATTCTGAAGCCTTTCATCGGAGTTACTTAGAAGTTTTATTCTCTTCTCTGACACTTCAGAGAACCCAGGAAAGAAAGGATTTGTCCGTAAAGATTTTCTTTTATCATCTAATCCGTTATACTTCTTATTAGGTGTTAATTTTAACTTATTTTTTACTTCATCTTCATCTGAAGAACTATTACTGCTGTTTTCCAAGTTAAGTATATCTTTTCCATTTGATTTTTCATCTTTACTATTAGGTGACCCAGTTTTTAAACATTCTTCAGGTACACAGTACCTTCGTTTACCGCGTTTTATTTTATCTGTTGCTTCCTTTTTTATCTCTTTCCTTTTCTTGGCACTTGCATGGTCACCATCATAGTCAGTATCATCAGATAATTCTGTCAATTCTTTCTGGGGTCTTTCTGGGGATTTTGATACTGGCTTGGATGCTGTAGCATCTCCAAGGGTTACTGCCTCTTCTGGCGTCGATAAGCTGATTTGCTCTTTCAGACAAACTTCATTATTGTCTTGGGTCAAAGCTTCATCTTGAGGATCTTCCTTCCCATTGCTATAGACATTTGGAGCACTTTGGTCATCATCTTGTTCACTATCGTCTGAGCTTTCAGATGCTATGGGAGGGGGGGGAAAGTAAGAAAATCAATTCCTCTAGCATCCAAATCCTATATTTAGATATGTTTCACACAAACCTGAATTAGTCTTTAACTTCCCTGTGGGTAGTATCCCTATTTGGATTTATTTTTTAAATATAAATATATATATTTAAATCTATTTGATGAACCATTCAGGCCAAAAAAAAAAGTTGTGTAGCCCTACAAAGAATTAAGTAAAATTATATATGTCCAACAATGGCTTATCATCTTACTCAAATGGATTTCATGGAAATCACTTCAATCAGCCAAAAGTCTGATATACAAACACAAATACTTGAACTCATCTAAAGTTCTGATTAAAAATTGGAAAGAGGTGAACACTAAAAGGATACTCAGATTAAACAAAATTAAAATTGGAATTATAATTATAATTTTAGTACTATAAGCACAGGAACAGATGAATCCAGAATGGTAGAAAGCTAACAACATAAAAAAAAAGGAGATAACAACAATACACTGGCATAGAACACTATACATTTATTCTTAAACAAGGAGATAAAAAACAAAAGCCAAACTCTATCAACATGATAGAGACATTCAATCTAATTTTAAAAAAACAAAGAAGGCCTGAGTAAGTAGCTCAGAATGTTCCCATGTCATGGGAAGCCAAATTAACTGGAATTTGGGTATGCCAAACCACAAGCTATGTGATTATGCATCCTGCTCAAATTATGGTTGCTCATAGGAGCAGCTTAAAAACCACAAATGGGTCTGTCTTTGGACTGTCATGAAGATCAAGGACTTGGAATTGTTCCTCTCAGAAAGAAATACATTTTTGTGCTCATTACCTTGCAGTCCATTAAGGATAGAAATAATCTCTAAAGGTTTATTTGGAGCTAGTTCAGAAGTTTTGGCTTCAGCGCTGTCTGGTTTGGATGCCATCTCAGGCGATATACCAACATGAAATGGTGGTTTTGATGAACGACGTAATTTAAATGCTTTGGGGGAATATTTCTCATCTTTATCAGCTTTATTCTAGTTTAAAAGAAAGAAATATTCTATTAATATACCCATATAATTTATCTTATATCAAGAGTTAACAGAATGTTGAGAATAAAACAAAATCAAATGGCAAGAATTCATATAAAGTAAATCTAATTGAGATGCTAAACATGTGTTTAGAAGAAACATATCTAATATGAATAGAGAAAGATAAGAGAACTTGATAACCCACCGATGTAGAAACTGTAAGAGTCAGTCAGGGGACTGAATTGATGTTGGTTTGTTTTGCACGTTGTCTTAATGTATTTATGTTTGTTTGTATATTTTCTATCGATAAAAACTATTTTAAAAATATCTAAAATATATACTTGTAAATCTTTTATAGACCTTAATATTGTGCAGAACCATTTCACTTCTTATCTGATATATATCTACATCTTATAGAATTTTAGGTATCCATTTTTCAAACTGGTAATTAAGACACATTATTATTGTTCACAGGTGAGTTCTATTCAATGACTTGGAAAGCATTGAAAAGATTTGAACAGCTCGAGGGCAATGTTTAGAGGTTGGGAAGAATTCAAGTTTACAGTAGCAAAATAATGCAAATAGGCAGGGTAGGATTTTTGAATTTCTTCATTTTGAGGAACAAATTGGAGGGTTTTTAAAAATTCATTCAAGTCTATTCATGATGTTTATTTCTGTAGCTATGATAGATTATGATCACTATGTGGTCTTAAATAAGTTCTAGCTCTTTGTATGGTTATTTAACCGCTTTGTTTTGCATCACTGACCTGCTATGTATGGGAAGAAAAATCTTCAGACTACAAAGTTTGCTTATTAAGACAAATAATGTAGTTCATCAAATGATTATCAGTGTACCAGTAACTACTTATTGTTTCTGAATAAAAATGGTAACAATTTGAAATACAATAATCAGATTTGTTAATTATCAGCTTTATCGACAAATCAGCAGAAGACACTAATATGTTACTTCATAATGAGTGGCATAATGACAAGCAAATATGAAAATGAAGTCCCTGTGTAATTCTTTTTCCTCCAGCTAGAACAGCTGCTATCAATAGTAAATCATGACAGTCTTTCTTTCTATTTCGATGTAATATTCAGCATCAGCAGTCTAAAATAATCTACCTTTATTTTCTTTCGATGCTTTATTTTGGGTACATTTTTGTCTGCTGGTCTCACTATCTTGTCCGCTTTTATCCATTCATCATACCTAGAAAGAATTGAAATACATACACTTTACATTTTGGAGATAATTAAATGTAGGCCACAGAAAAACACTTTATAAAATATACATTTTATAAAATCATATCTTCTCTAGCAATTTGATATATTTTCATGTTCATTATGTAACAACAATAATGATTATACTGGGCATATTTCAGGATGGCTTACTATTAAAATGGAGCAGAGACATGAAGCATGATATTAGCATTAGCAGTATTAAAATTGTACAGCTAAATCCAGTGTCAAATTAGCAAACGTTTGACCAGGCAAGAAGAGTTCCCTTTCTCAACCCATTTTCTGAAATCTGCTTTACAGATTCCAGTCAACCAGCATTCTAGAGCAGACTTGGAGGAGAGAAAACACTAAAGAATGCAAGACAAAGGTAAATCCAATCTATCTACAATATCTGTTCCAGAATATGAACTCTAGCTGTTATTTTGATTACAAAAAAAATTGCTATGCTTCCATACTCCTATAAGACTTATAATAGTTCTGAAGTAGAAATTAAGGAAATTGTCACTAGATTCTTTTTCCCATCAACAACATATATTTAGAATTTAATTCAAATTACACAATCCAAATAAGCATTGATATAATCAGAATTAACATATTGTTAGCTACCCTCCCCCATTCTCCCAAACTAAAAAAGACTAATGAAGTAAGAATATTATACTACTGCTAAGTAATCTTTTAATCAGAATAATTCATACTATTCTATCTAAGTCATCTGGCACATGCAATCATGTGAGCTATCTATATAGCGATCTTAAAATATTTTGGTAGAACGCAGAATACAGTGAATTATAATAGCATATTTTTAACACAAAGGAAGAACATAAAGGAAATACCCAAGCAGTTAGAAATACAATCATCAAAGCAATCTCATTCATGTAAACACACATACAAACACACACGCTTACTATATGATTTATGTCAAAATAAAGCACTACTCTATCCTTGTAATCTAAGGTGAAGTCCAGGGTATATGTGTAAGGTTTGTGGTACAAATAGAAGTTTTTCTGGGTAGAAACACAACCTCAATGGGAAATCTGAATTACAACCATATGCTCCAGCAGTAATCCGAAAGCTTGGAAGACTAAATCTCTGGTCCCCATGAACAAATCAGATTGGATCCAGCTACAACACATTGCTTTGCCTTTAAAGTATATCTCCTACTGTATACAACATCTCAGCATCATACTCAAGAGAAGCTAGAATAAAAGCCCTTATAAACATTAGTATCTAAACAACATCCGTTAAAATTAAAATAATTCTGAAAATACATACTCAAGTGTGAAGGCTTCCATTCACACTTGACTCCTGAAAGTACATATTCTATGACATAAAATCCATTCCTTTACTTTTCTGAAATACATATCCCATGAAGTTAAAAAGGAACGTAAATGAGGCACAAGTTAAGAAAGCAAAAGAAAATAAGAATCCTAACATTCAGGATCTTCAATACCAGCTTTTTGTTTTTCTGATTAGTGGTGACATCATTTATAAACAATTCAGTTATAAAAATTAAGATGTAAGCATGATAAGGTTTTTCAGTTATGACTCATGTTTGGCCAACACCCAAAGAGTTTAGCATGCCCTTTCTTTAGTCTTCCTAGACAAAATTATTGATAAAAGTAATGCAGATGGTAAGCAAAGATGACAAGGAGCTTATTTAGTAATATCCAGAAATAAAAGGCCAGTTACAAAGTCTTTGCAAAGAATATTTCAATAAAGAAAATGTCTGAAAGATATGAAGAATTGAGCAATACAGGAACTACATAAGATTGGAATACTTAGTTAATGGCATAAAAGATGACAAGAATGTTTTGGCCAAAATATCAAATTTACCGTTTCCCCAAAAGCACTAAAGTTATGGCAATAAGCCAGAATAAAGAGAAGATGCTCAGACGTAGAAATACAAGATTATGCGAAGATGGATCTTCTTAAGAAATATATGGCAACAAGAAATTAAGTTTGACCAAATGAAAGTATAGATCAAGATTCTAGGTACTCAGAGAGAATGGTTATTCGATTTAATCCAGATTTTCCAAAAGAAATCTCATCTCACTTCTACCACAAGTTAAAATGTTTGACTTTAGGTTTTGAAAAATGTGAAGAACCATTTTGTTCAACATAACATGACAGCAGAATAAGAAATGTACATGCTATTTCACTGCTCAATATTAAGATAAAACTGAGGCAGGAGATTGACTCAACGAGATTTTTTATTTATTTACAGGTAACTTACTAAGCTATTTTGCTCTTAGAATAAAAATAATTTTAAGTAGTATGATGATCTTCACAGATCAGTAATATTCTATTTGTTTTAGAACATACAAATGTATTTTAGAGTATTTTAAAGGAAGTAATCACTAGCTAAATCTCAATTACCTCATATTCCATCCGCAGTAGTGCACCAAGTAAAGGACTTCTCCACCTTCAATCTCAGAATCTTTAATACTAGCTTCATACATTTTTTGATTTTTCCCTCGTCCATACCGCACTTGGACTTTCATGCCTGGTGGATAACACTCAAACTCTTCCTCTTCATTTCTGTCATCTTCCTCCTCATCATCATCATCTTCCTCCTCCTCCTCTTCTCCTTCTTCATCTTCATCTTCTTCCTTAATGGTGACATCGCTTGAAAGGTTTAAAAAATGTCAGTTAATAAAAATATTGAAAAAATGTTCCGTGCCAAATGGTGTATACTGATTAATATTGGGGATGCACAGAAGGAATAGTAGGTTCCATATATATTTATATGTATAGATAGAAAGATATAGCTATATGCACACATTTGTATATGTGTGGTATATATGTATACATACATGTATATATGAATTCCTTTAAAGATGAGTGATTTTTAATTAGAGTTGGCAACTGACAAGAAAACAGCAAACAATCAGAGTAGTGACAAAAAGAGGCATTTTACGGAAGATTTTAAAAGATGACTTGGTTTAATGAAAATGTTTCATTACTATCTCTGGAAGCTAAAGATGTATGTTACAAAGCTACAGGGATAAATTATTCTTATCTGAAGAATGTTTCCCTCTCCCTTGAAATTGTATCAGCTTAGTGACTTTGTTATGATGGCTCAATCGGTAACAGATTGTTTAGAAAGCTCACCTGATTATTTTATTCTATTTTATTTACTTGTGATTAATATCTTAGTTTATATAACCAGAACATTCAGAAATGCTTTGAACTAGTGTTTGTCAAAGTTGAAGAAGTAACCTAAGCCTCAAGTGAGTATTTCAGAGTATTATGAAGCTCAAAGAAAAAATATTTCTAAACAATAGGAATATTATTGGGAGTTTCAAAATAATATAAACTTTAAAACACAGTACGGCATTTATTGTGTTTTCAGACTTTGTAAGAAATATTTCATTACAGGCTTCCATCCCTATTAAATGCTGCACAGGGGCTTTATTTTCTCTACTAAATTTTAGTTTGGGAAACGAAAGAACTCAAAATTAAGGTCTGCATTTGATTAGGTAGACCAGAAATGAATATACTAGATGGCAGTAAACTTTGCCTGTTTCTGCTGAAGTCACATTATTTTACCTAGTACAGATAATCCTTGATTTACAACCATTCATTTTGTGACCATTCAAAGTGACAACAGTGTGGAAAAAAGTTACTTATAACCGGTCCTCACATTGACCATTGCAGCATCCCCAGAGGCATATGATCAAAATTTGGACACTTGACAACTGGCATGTTTTCACAATGGTTGCAATGTCCCAAGGTCATGTGGTCACAATTTGCAACCTTCCCAGCCAGCTTCTGACAATCAAAGCCAAGAGAGGAAGCCGGATTTGCTTAATGTCTGCATGATTCACTTAACTGCAGTGATCTGCTTAACAACATGGCAAAAAAATCATGAAACTGGGCGTGACTCACTTAACAACCAGCTTGCTTAGCAGCAGAAATTCTGGTACCAATATTACATCAAGGACTACCTGTATAAAAAATTAGCCTGATCCTTAATCTGGGTAATAGTTATGACAAACAGAACAAAGCTCTAGTTATTTCTGCAGTTCACCCCTGCTTTATATTATTTCTCTATATTTTTCTCTAGTAATGAATTTAACTCATGGCATTAAAAACAATTATGTTTAATATCTGAGCATTAAGTTAAAGAGAATCTCAACCCACAATAAGCATGGTTGAACAGATTACAATTAACAATAGAAATGTTGAGGTAGAAATGACAAATCTAAACTGTAATTTTTGATTTGTCCAAAAAAAACCCCAACTTTTAATTTAACGCAATTTAATAGCTCTCTCCCATTAGTTAGGTTATGAAAGTTCATTTTAATACATATTTCTTTCTTAGTAATATAACCAGTCTCCCAAAAAAGATCAAACCGTACCTTAATATTTTTAGTACTATTGACACTTAACTAAAAGTTAACACTTGTAACAAGTGTTAAAAGTGTTCAGTATACTGAAAATATTTGGGGATCACTTAAATAACTTTTCTTATTTAAAATACTTTTGAACAGAAAACCCCGTATTGTAGTATTTTTCTCATACTACAATATAAAAAAGTACAGCATTGCAAAATTGGTATGCTGATGCAGGCAAAGGAGGAAGCATAAAAAGTTCAAATATTTTTAAAAACTAAACAGAAAACTGCCATTGAGTGAGCAGAACTGTTTAAGTGATTCTCTCAAAATGCAGTTACATAGACAGATGGGCTTGTATTTATGCCACTATTTATCCTCACACCTTCCTTTTTTTTTGTTCACCATGTTGCCCTAGTGATGGCCTAATAAAAAATACTGACCCAAAAGAGAACTTTATTTTTATTTTATTCTGGCCAATTTGAGTACTTTTTTCTTGTGTTATGCCCAACTATTTAAAACAACAAATGATTAAAATATTTCTAGCAATGAAAATAAAGAGAAATGGATGGAAAAGGAAACTAAGAATGATTTGTTTTGTTATTACCGCCCTGAGTCCTATTTGGAGAAGGACGGTATAGAAATGGAAACAATAAATAAATAAATAAAGAGCTCAGTTCTGTTAATGAAAGCAAATTCCCAGGCTGCAGTATATATTCAGTAGTAATCTTTAGCTTATGTGTGCCACATTAAGTTATAAAGCAAATCTTTGGTTCCAAATTCTGGATCCAGAAAAAAAGCCAAACTAGAATCTGCAAGGTATGTCACCAGCCCACTGTAGGTAGATAAAAAATAATAAAAAATAATATAATATAATATAATATAATATATATTACATTAGTCTCATCTTTTTCTTGTTAAGGTTAATTTCTAAGCTTCCTTGTTGCAAATAAAAGGTTGCAAAATCATGGATTGTAAAAGTAATACCAACAGTCCCATCAGGCAATATTATCTCCTGAGAATATATATCAATTTCTAATAAAGTTAAAGCACAATTTATTTATTTTTTACTATTGAGTGATAAAGAGTGATTAGCAATTATAGATGGAAGATACAAAGATTTAACTAAAATCAAGAATGTTCATTTCAAGGAAAAGCTGAATGGTTAAGAATACATACATATTGCATGTTTTAAATAGATTGCTGTAATATGAGGACCAAAGCAACCTATCCCCAAATTGAAAATCTTGAATTATAGATAAGAAGCAAAGTATTGAACACCTTGAGTTAGAAGTCCTTAGAAGAAAAGTCCAGTATGGCTTTGAGGAAATTTACTTTGCCATATCTGCATCCAAGTAAAAGCTCATATTCTTATATTTCAACTTTGATAAACCTAATACAAGAAGGATTTGTATAGCAGCTGATATCCACAACTCTTAAACATGTTTCTTAAAACTGATGTGTAATATTTTTAATATAAGTAACAATGCAAAAGTCATAGTCTTGGAGAGCAGTGAACCACAAGCTTAGAGCTTTACAGCAGAAGAATCAGAGTTCAGTGTAGCAATAAGATTGCAAAGAAAGATGAGAATGTAAGCAGGTCCCATTTACAAATCATTTGAAGCAAGTAAGGTAAATATTAAGGAAAAGAGATTTAACCTTCAGTATAGGAAAATGAAAGAATCCAGTAAGCAGCAACAAAAGGAACTATATTAGAAAGTCATTTGAAAATGAAGATACATATTTCTTGACCATAACTGTATAAACTTGGTATTAATGAAGTGTGCAAAGAAATTCTCCATCAATTCTAGAAGGATTCCTATAACAATAAGTGTCTATAATTTTTATCTGCCAACTCATACCTTAAAATAGTACAAGACCTACTTTTCTCTACAACAGTCACTTTTTCTCTTGGTCTGACAAAAAGTCATTAGCCACTCATAAACTTCAATGGCTGCGATAAGCATTTGGGTCTCCCACCTATCATGTCAACATGTTAACTCTACAGTATTTGGAAAAGGAAAAATATCAATTGCCACCAAATTCCTCCTAAGAATATGTCTGTCAGAAGCTCAATAAGTCAACATTCCAACATTATAAAAATTTTACTATTTAGCTTGTCTCTCGTACGTGCAAGAATACACAGAATGAAGCATTTAACTATTCTGCAAATTAATGAGGTAAATCCAGTGACATTTGAATCTTTGATATTCTAGTAGATGACTACCCTTCTTGTGCATTTTAAAATGCACCCCATAAAGTTTCATCAGTTCATACAAAGCATAATCAACAACGATATCTGGTAGAATTCAATATGATCCTACCAGCATTAGCATAACTCATCAGAAGATTGTTCTGTATGTTATGCTGCTCAGATAGTTTTGTTATCAAATATAAAAAGTAAATTGAACATTTTCGCAAAAAAATGCATTATAGAAATAAAGATTCTGATTTCAGTAATTTGTTATTCATTATAGATATGCTGACTTTAAATTACACACTTGCAAAGGAAAATGCTATTTTAATACATTTAAATCTCCCACTTACAAAAAGTACAATAATCCCTAACCCTTTGCTTCCTTTTAAAAAAACTGTCTTTGTCTTTAGTTTAAATTCTGTCACGACACAATTCTCAAACAATAAAAATTTTTTAAAGAAATTATCAAATAAACCTATCTTCCAAAATATATTTTAACAAATACAGCCTTATAATTTTATAAATTCAACAGCTAGCTAGAGAGAAAATACTGTTGTTGTCTTTTCTTCTTCTTGACTCCAAATATTATTTTAACTAAAAATCTATCATGAAAACCCTTTATAAAAATTTAAACAAAACAGTGGCATACTTCAAGACTTGACTCCATACAAACATGAAGAACATTTTTCTAAATGCAAAGTAAAGAGACTTTGGTTTAAATTTTTACAGTTCCTTTCTTCAAAGCTACGTGCAAACAGAAAATTGTCAGTAAAGCTCACAGCACAATCCTAAATCTCTTACTGCATTTCAGAGACTAATAAAGTACAGTCATTATATAAAAGGCAAACTGTTATTGATTTCATTATTAAGGCCAAAACTACAATTGTACTACAATGCATTTCAGAAGCATGTATGAAATAATAATAATAATAATAATAATAATAATAATAATAATAATAAATAATAATAATAATAATAATAATATAATAATAAAAAAATGCGGACTTTAGGAAAATATGATGCCATGGTAAGGGAAGAATGGAACACCCAATATGCCAGTTGGGAAGGCAATGCTATATCCTTACATTCATTAG